AATATTATATCCTTCTTTTGAAATATGAAATTCTTTTCTATTTACACCCAAATAGTCTTTATTAATAATACGTCCAATTATATATGAAATAAAACCTTGGCTATTCAAGAAATACCAGATTTCATCTTTTAATTATGCTGGGATTCTAATATAAGTTGGATCTATAAATCTGATCAAAATGTCAACTACATGTGAATTATCTAATTAGATATTTATAATGAATACATATATAATCTAAGAATTAAAAGTGAAGATTGCAATACAGAAAGTAATATATCGTATCTTTAGTGTCATTCTTTAGATAAAATTAAATAAGTGCCACAATATGTGTGATGTTACCAATTGATTAATTGTTTTATAGAAACCCTGAGATTGATCGAACTAGATTATAAATAAATTAAAATATACAGATAATTTAGGTAAGATGATTATTAGCTTCTGTTAACAATTTGTGATTATGTATATCTGTTAGAAAGAGTAATGTTTTAAATGACCTAATTGTAAATAATTTATCTATTTTGATATTCTTAAATTTTTTGTAATCATTTTCATCAAATTCTATTGAATGTTCTGCAAGTAAATCAGTATCAAATATAAGACTAGGTTATGAGAAATATGGATCTGTTATAAAGTATATTAAATTTTAGAGTCTTTCATTTGATTTAAAATATTCTGCTTAATCAGAATCAAGTATTCGAGGTTTTTCTTAAATAAGAATTTCTTCAAGATTGATATTATCTATTATTTCATCATTAAGAGATCCAAATGATTCAGATCTTTATCTAGATACAGCAGGAGATCTCATTGAAGGTGATGAAAGAGTATTTTAATGATGTAGAACTCTTCTATTCTAACTCTCTTATAATCCAATAGCAACAGATCTGAAATGTTAATCTTCAGTATTTTTATTGCTTTCTTCCTGATACAGCTATAGAACGGCTAAATATATAATATTAATTACTTGATTCAACCAATTCACAAAACTAACTAAGGGATCTAATACCATATCCATACTCTTCCTTTACTGCTTCGATTTTATTCATGATGTGTAATACCATCTTCTCTGACTCTGCATGTTTCAAAAATATAATAAAACCATAACAAATATCATCTAATTCTAAACTATGAAAATATTTCTTTATAATTACCATGCTTCTGCTGCACAATGAAGAACTTATTAAAAATATTCAAGAGAATAAAACTTAGATGAACTAATCGTATTTGATTTAAACACTGCATACTCTTCTATGGCTTTACAACACCCCTTAATCCATTCTACTTAGTCTTTGAATACATTAAGTAACTGTCCCAAAATCATATCAATAGTTTCAGGTAACAATGGATAAACAATTAACAGTAGCTTAACTAACCTAGGATCTTTTATGTATGTATGACGATCAGGAAATGGTAGTGAGTTAGTTATTATCTTAAGAGCTGGAAGTAATTTAGTCACTGTATCATTTGATTTAATAGCAGCTTCCAGTTATTCCATTACTTTCATTTTTATTATTATAAAAAATACTCATTTTTATTTACTTAATAGATACAAATCAAGAACAACAATTGCTGCCATGCTTTCAACTACTGGCACAGCTCTACTAACTACACAAGGATCATGACGACCATGAGCCTCTAAAATAATATCTTCTCCTTTAAAATTAGATGTCTCTTATTCAAGACCTATTGTAGAAACTGGTTTGAATGCTACTTTAAAATAAATATTTTCTCCATTTGTTATACCACCCAAAGTACCTCCTGCATTATTAGTTATAGGTTTTAAATTTTTGAATCTGTCATTATGAACACTTCCTCTTAATTTTGTTCCTTCAAAACCTGAACCAAATTCAAAACCTTTTGTTGCTGGAATACTCATTATAGCATGAGCCAAGACAGCTTAAAATTTATCAAAACATGGTTCACCTAATCCAATTGGACACCCTTTAATAACACAAGTTACAGTTCCTCCAATAGAATCCTTATCAAGTTTTACTTGCTCTATTAATTTTACCATTTCTAATGCAGATTCCTTATGTGGATTTCTGAATTAATATTATGTATTAACTTCTTCAATTTATTCTTGAGTAGGTGGATTTAATATTAATTATTGTTAGATTTCTTTAGGAATTTCAATATTCCCAACAGAAGAAACCCAAGCAGAAATTGAGATATTCATTTAACTTAGAAATTATTAGGCTATAGCACCTGCACAAACTCTTCCAATAGTTTCTCTTGCAGAAGATCTACCTCCTCCACTTTCTGCTCTAATTTCATATTTCATTTAATATGTAAAATCAGCATGACCAGGACGAGGTATTTAATCAAATTATTTATAATCTTATGGTCTCATGTCTTCATTATAGACCATAATCATTATGGGACTACCTAAAGTTAAATTTTAAGTATTGAGTCCACTAATTATAATTGCTTTATCCTTTTCATCTCTTTAAGTTGTTAATTTAGTTTATCCAGGTCTTCTTCTATTTAATTGATATTATAATGCATCTTAATCAATTTTAAAATTAGATGGAAATCCATCAATAACACAACCAACTCCTTTGGAATGAGATTCTCCAAAAGTTGTAACCCTATACTTTTAACCAAAAGTACTCATTATTAATTATAAATATTTAAAATTAATATGTTATTCATTATTCATTTTATTTTTTTCCTTTTTTAATTAATTGAATTTAAGAATGACTATCGAAACCTGAACTAGATACACTTTTAACACTGTTTTCTAGTTTTTAAATCTTTTAAATCTTTTTGTTCAACTTAGATTTTGTATTATTATTTTCATTTTTTTTATGTGATTTTTAAGAAGTACAAATTTCAGAAATTAAGTCATCTTATCCTTTAGTTTTCTTTCTATAGGGTCTCTTTTTCCTAATTTAATGATTTGTTTAAGCACTTGAATTTCTAAATTAATAATAAAATTTTACCTATCTTATTATTATGTCTATGATGATTTTTTTGAAGTTTTACTTTTTTCCTTTCTTCTAGTAAATTTAGTTTTAGATTATTCTTCTGCACTTTTACTTAAATCTATACTAGATTAATAACTTTCACTTAAAAATTCTTCTGTTTATTTATCAAGTTAACATTCTGTATTTCCCATATATCTTGTACACAAAGTAGGACTGCAAGAAAACTTTTCTGCATTTAAAACTAAAATAAGTTCAGTTGGTTTATATTTCATAAAAATTTCTATTTCATCTCCATCTAGACATTTAATACATCTAAATGTTTAATCATTTTTTATTTAATAAAAGATGAAAATTTCCATTTTGCAATTATTACATTACAATACTTCTCTAGAATTGAATTTCTTTTTGCAATTCTTTATTTTTGTAGATTACTTTAAGTAATTATCTATATCTTCCTATATAAATTTATGTAAGAATGTTTTTAATAGAGGAGATTTGCGATGTATATAAATATCTAAAAACAAATTCTTAATGGGTAGAACACTTGATATTTAATATTGGTCATTAATGAGTTATCTATCATATATTTATTGAAATGTATCTTCTTAATAAACTAATAAATTCCAAGATGTATTTATAGTATTTCCTAGACTCTTTACCCAATGTAGACATCCAGCTCCCAAAATCACAAGATCTCCTTTTTTTTATATTGTATACTTTATTGGTATATTGTTTTCCAAAAAGAAATCAATCTCCTTAAACCATAAACCTTCAATTTAATATAGATTTGGCATTATTTCATATAATTTTTTTACATGTTGAGCATCTACAGTTAACCAAAGACAATCTCCAGGACCATGATTAAAATTTAAAGAATTTACTGATGAATTTTCTTAATGTCCACCAGTCCAAACTCCTTTAGTCTTTATATATATCTATGGAATATTAACTCCTAAACAGAATTATCTCATATATACTAATCCATCATATTTTAATAATGATTGTGGCATATATTCATATAATTAACCTGTTTCTTCATCCCAATTATCCATATCTACATTTACAGCAAATAGAACTTTATCAGATGAATATTCTGTATGTTTCTAAAAGAACTCTGTTTTATTTTTTAAATATTTGCAATACTCATCAATTCTCATTTAATTAGCTATACAATTCTATTCAATTGTTGGAGTAAAAGTATCTGTATTTGGATCTTGAATTCGAATGTCAACCATTTAATTACCATGCCTTTTAGCTATATCTTCAAAAGTAAAACACTTAGAATTCAATTTATTCACTATATCAGTAGGTAATTACCAGACTGTTACTTATTCTCTTAACCAAGTTTCTGGTGATTCAACTTAACAGTCAAGTGAATAAGTTTATTCCACATAAAAAGCTTTTTCAAGACAAAGCCCATTTAATTTAGGATTTTATTTCTCATAATTCAACAAATATTTCTAAAATACTTTGAGTTATTTTTTATATAATTCAGAATCAAATATACTGCATTATCTAGAATAAACCTATATATTTGATATAGAATACTTAAATAAATCCACCTTGAATTTATACATCAGAATACAAATCTTATGTTTCTTTAGCTTCTAAAATATCAAGTTCTTCTTAACTAGGTGTAAAATGCTCCTTAATAAAGCTTAAATACATTCTAACAATATTTATTATAATTAAAGTCTGCTATTATTTAAGAGGTACTAATTATCAAACAAATAATTATCTTGATTTTTTATTTATTAAAAACAATTATAAAATTTCAGTTTTTATTTAAATACACATCCAATAATCCTTCAAATACAATTAATCCTCACTAATCTTAACAAAATCTTTTGCTTATTCCACTATATTCATAGGATCAAAACTCTTTATAATATAATCATTGTAATAATATATTCTAATAAGATTTATGTTTAGTATGATAGTATGACAATAAGATAATATTATTTTCTATATAATTTTTATAATTATTTATATATATATCTAGCATTAACCTAATGAATTATTATATAATATTAAATTATTCTAAATAAAAATAATATTTATAATTAAATATAAATAATGTTTATATATTTAATTCTAATTTCACTTGTCTTAACTATTCAAGGTGTTGAAAAATCAAAATTATTTTCATATAGAATTATTGCTTTAAAAGACTATGACTTTTTCAATCAATTACAAATAGGTAAATTTGCCAATGATTGATAAGATAAGAAAATGGAAAAGCCATGGTTAGTATTTTTTTTTATGGAACACGAATAAAAATCTAAAGAATTTATACCAATATTTGATAAATTAGCAGAGGAATTCAAAGCTACAAATATGTACTTCTCAGCTGTTGATATGTATTGAATTAATTTAGATAAGATATGAAAATGAAGATGTTAGAGATAGAATAGTTGTTTAGACATTTCCATAATTAGTTTATTTTGATATGAATAGTCTAATGTATAGATATAATGGAGAATTGACCTTTGAAAGTGTTTCAAACTTTGTGAAAAATGAAGAATGGAATTTACTTTAAGGAAAGAAAGTTCCTAAAGAAATCAATTATTGGAAGAGATCTATAAGAAAGCTAACTGGTTTTGTTGCTGTAAAAATAAGTAATAATTATCATTAGATTTTAATATACTCAATAATTTTTAGTATAATTGCAATAATCTGTTACTTTTAAAATAGATCACAAAAAAATTTACTAAAGAAAATTAGAAGAATTGATATAGCACAATAAAATATCTTAGAAAAGAAAAAGAAATATATGAAGATTGAATGATTTATTTGAAAAACTAATTAAAAAATAATAAGCAATCAAAATAAAATAATATTATTAATATCTCAATAAAATAAAAATATCCATTTCTATGTGAAACTTTTTAATCAATGATTTAAATCTTATTTTAGAAAAGTTTTAATCCTATTTTTATATTGATATATAAAGGATTTTTCTCCTTTTTATAAAAATTAAAACTTAATATGAAAACTTGCAAGCATATTAAGATAAGTTACTATTTACTTGTAATTTATAAGTTATTAATAACAAAACTGTATTAAAATAGAATAAAACTAAATTATGATCTAGTTTTATCAAGGTAAATGGATTTATATAATGTAAATATTATAATAATATTAGTTTACTTTTAATACTGCATATAAAACATTTTTATTATATATAAATAAATAAAAATTTATATATTAGAATTAATCATAAAAAAAAGCTTTGGTTAAATTTGATTTCTGTAAGAGCAAGAACCAAAGTTATTTTAGCAATCCTTTTGTTTATCTTTATTATTATTATGAATTTTAATAAGATGAACTTGAATATGATGAGAGATTATTTAAAGAATCTTCTATTAGAATATTAATATATTGGTACCTTAATGAAATTCACGAAAATTAAACTATAATCAATCTTTAAAGATGTGGAATTGATGAATTTGTAGTGTTAATCAAACAATTATTCGGTAAGGTAAGTAAATTTTTGGGGAATTCTTTAGTATATATTATTACAAAACATATTGCTTTTGTATAAATTAACATTCTCCTTATAAGGTTTAAAATATAATATTTATAAAACATCTATAAATAAGAAGGAAGTTGTGTAACATGTTAAATTTCTATATCCTCTTCAATATTGAATTTTATTATATTTTGTAGCAAATCTTATTTTATATATTTTCATCACTCATAACCATGACAAATCTGATGGGGAAATATAAATAATTAAATTAAATTTTGAATGGTGCCAAATGATAAGTAAATTATTTCTCAATTGTAGTTAATTGGAATGTAATGAAATAGAAGATGATAAATAGTCAGCGAAAGCAACAACAAAAAAAATACAAAATAGAAAAATATGGTCTTAAAAAGAAGACAAGTTATTGGAAAGAGCAATTCATGAACTTGGAACTAATTGGAAGGAAGTGGCTAAACATTTATATAATCGAAATCCTTCTTAATGTGCTTAAAGATGGAAGAGAATTAAGCCTGTCTCTGTATGTTTAATTTTAAATAAGCTCAGTAACGCTCTCGACATTCTTGGAGCGCAGTTGAAGACGAACAATTATTAGAATTAGTTAAAATACATAAACGGAATTGGGGAATGATAGCAAGCATAATGCATTGGAGAACAGGAAAGTAAATTAGAGAACGATTTATTAACAAATTAAACCCAGAAATAAGGGCTGAACCATGGTCAAAGGAAGAAGATCTAATTGTCATGGATGCTTATTAAAAATATGGATCTAGATGGACAGAAATATCCAAGTTATTAAAAGGGAGACCTGTATAATTTATAACTAAAATTTATTTAGGAAAATATGATAAAAAATAGATTTTATTCCTTTATTAGAAAAGAATATATGAATATTTAAAATCCTTATTACGTTATACCTAATTCATAATAAAAAACTGACACTGATTAATTAAAATCAACTTAACAATCAGATGAAATTCTAAAACAAGATCAAAATGATAATAGTTAATCATCTAAAAGTAGTATTATAAAAAAAAGGAAACATACTAAAATCTAAAAGAAGAAAATGAAAAAATAAAAAGCCATTAAAAAAATAAAAGAATAAGATCAAAAAATAATTAATAATATTGTAAATGATTAGAATGAAGAAGTTTTGAATGGAATAGTTTCAGCTGAGAGCTCAGAAGTTTAAGTAAAAGAAGAAGATGATAATGAAATTTAAGTAAATAAAATTGCTTAAAGTGTATTAAGTTAAAGTTTAAACAATAATTTAAATCAAATTAATAACATATAGAATTCATAATAATTATTTAATGATCCTATAAGATCATTATATAATTCTTAAGTCTTTTAGAATTAACCTTCATAATCATAGTAATTTTAATAACAATAATGTATATATTTTTTATTAATTCAGATTTGGCTGCTATGTATTATAAATACTATGAAGGAATTGCAAATTTGATCAAAAGCTAAAGTCTTTCATAATCATAATTATTAAAAGAAAGTCTTCCAATCCTATCAAATGCTACTAGTTAAGAAACACAACAATCTTCGTTGATGTAACTTTCCCTATCAAACATGAATTTTCTCCAATTTCCCTACATGTTTAGACAAGAGTCTTTTCCTCATTCAATGAACAATTCATAATTTTGAAATAGAGTCTGAGCCTTTTCACTTATCAAATATATATATGTTAAATTTTTATTAAAGGTGTTTTAAATATAAAATTTATATTAATCATTTTTAATTATTACAATCTTATTATAATTAATAACAAGTAATGAATATGAATATTAAATAATAAAATTAAATTTTATTGTTATTTTAAATAAAATTCATTGATTATAGGGTAGGCTTTTATAATATAGTGATTAAAAAAGAGTTTATACATTAAAATATAATCTAATATTGAATATATTCATTGCTGGATTCTTTTAGAAGCGCCTGGATAAATTAATACATGTAAGATCTAAGGGATGTATTATTTTTATAAAAGCTTATTATTATGTATTAGAAGGTTTAATTATTTAAATAATATGTGATTCTAAGAGATAAGAATAGTTAAATAATAAATTTTGTGTTCTTTTTTTATTAATAAATTAATAGTATAAAAGATAATAATTTTTAATGTTATAAATAAATATATGATTTAAAATGATTAAATATATTGTTCAAATAATTTATGATGATTATTTGACAACTCTAGCCAGAGTTTATTATAAATTCTATAATTCTTATAAATATCTAAAAAATTTATATTATAATATTACCCTCTTGGGATTGTAACAATTTCTGCTGTGGGCATTTGTGAGAAATATGACTGCATTTTAACTATATCTGTTAAAGGTATTTTTTCAATGAATTTAGGTGGAGATGAATTTTTTAAAAATTTATTAAAATTGTTTGCATTTTTATTAACATTAAATATATCTTTTGTCTAAAGTGGTTTACTAGTCTCATAAATATTCTCTTTTTAAGGTTATTAAGAATATTTATAAAAACTAATATCTTTAGAATTATTTAATTGTTTTAATTAAAGATCTAATTTTGTGTCCCAACTTCTAAATCTTTCTAAATTAATTGGAGATTAATCTCTTCCTGATTATCTTGATAAAAGAGCTTAAGATGATCTTTTTGGTTTTAATAAATTAGAGAATGAGTTATCTTATCTACTAAAAGAATCATTTTATTCTTTTTTAAATAATTAATCAACTTTTCTTTATTGTTAATAATAAAAAGTATTTTATGACTAATTCTTATCAATAAATTTCTTTTGAGTGCTGCAATGTATAAAAATAATGTTTACAAAATTTCTTCCATATTTAATCCTCCTTATAGACTTTTCTTTGGAGAAGACTTTGCCATATACTTAGCCACATTACCTTCGCTGTAAATAATTTGAAAAACTTACGTATTTTTTCTTTCATGTTTCTTCCAACTTGTTAATAAAATTGGTTTCTTTTCTTACTATTGAATAAAAGGCTCTCTCTAACTAATATTATTGCGGATTTCTTTTCTAAAATCAGCTAATTAAGCCTTATTCACTTAATTTGTTGTTGAAAATGTTTGGAAAGACCCATTTTGCTTTTCATATCTTTGTTGCTTAGACTTTTATAATCTTAAAGAATAATACTGGTGAAAATAGAGATGGCGATCTCATAACGACTGTATTTTAATATTAATTTAATTTGAATTATAAATTCTTATTAACTAATAAACTTTCTAGTTGAATATAATAAAATTTAAAGTCTTATTAAATTACTCAATCTAATTTAGATCTATAAAAATTTGAAATGATCATAGCATTATCAATATACAAATTTAATAAAATTATGAATAAATTAATTTACTAATAAAAAATATAGTATTAACAAAATTGCTTTTTTGTTATTATCACAATTCTCATTAATAAAATCCTTAATATATGTATTACCCAATTTACGGAGCTAAACCTATTATTCTTAATTCTAAGGCATCTATATCTTGAATTATTTCTTAATCATCATGCTACAGTTTCTATATTTAATCTTGTAATATGGCAAACTCTCCAGTTTAAACAACTTCAAATTAATTTATTTTCTTTAATAAGACCATCAAAGGCTTACTTATTTTAATTTATGTATTCTTAAACTGATATCATATTCTAAATTAATCTAATCTTTCTTTTATTAATGTTCAATGGTCTATATTTAATATCTTAATTGACTTATTGATTCTCTCAATGGTTTCATACTCTATCTAGAGCTAGCAATTAGATCCTGTTAATAAACTAATCAATATACTCTGACTTCTCTTATATGTTCATAAGCTGTGGAAATAAATACTTCTTATGACAAAGTGTCCTCATAATGGCTAATATTCATCTGCAACACTCTTGTTGAATCTGGAAATGATTCAATTCTTGTTGAATCGTTATTCAATTTATAGCCACTATATGAAGAAGTACTTATTGATTTTTTCATAAAAATAATAAAAATTAAAGCATTTTTACAAATTAAGTCTAATCATATAATAAGTATTTTTTTATAGAGAACTTTCCTTTTATAAAAACAATTACCTTAAAAATAGAATTAATCATTTGAATTAAGATAATAAATAATCCCAATATAAACTTTATGAAGAATGATGTTAAGAAAAGTATACTTGAGCATTAGAAATAAATTATACATAAATTTTTAATTCCTTCATTATAAATTAATACACACCTTATAAAGTAGATCAATAATTGATATTAATTTCATCCTCAAAGAGAATTTATTATATATTTATCAATACTTAAAGAATTTTTTAGTTTTGATAATTATATATTGCTTAAAGTAGATGTGTATTGACAATGTTTAAAACCAAATTTATTGTTATTTCACTGAATATACAATCAAGATAAAATTGATGATATTATCTTAAATAATCATTAAGATTATTATAAGAAAAATTGTAATTTTGAAAATTACTAAATTAAAAATTCTTTTAGTTATGTAAGTGATTTTTATTATGCAAATGTTTCAAAAATCTTATATTATTTTTATGAATAAAAGTTTATCAAGGTCAAAAAATAAACCAAAAGAAAAATAGCTCGAATTAAAATAGGATTTACTTTATTAATTTGCACTAAATTATAGTTTGTTATATAAAAAATAATCTAAAATTACAGAAAATAAACTTTTTCATTTTAGAATTTATTAATTATAAATAAAAATTCATTATTAAAGAATATTTTCTTAAGCAAAGACTTTTCTCTATACTATATTTATACTATCTATAAAGATTGACAAAAAATTAGTTTTAAAAGAAACATTTTTAGAGAAATAGCATAGTTAACATAACTATATTACAATAAATATTATAATTTCTATGAATAATTGATCATCATCTGAAATATATCAAGCTTCTGGCTGTAAGACCACCAACTTTTGATACATCCTCTTCTTAGTTCACCCAATATTCAGTGAAATCTTTCTTATCTTATTCATTATTTATGTCGATTCTTCTGAAAACATGATAATCATAAGCAACATGATCTTTCTAATAATTTATGAATTATAATTATTACCCATTCTTATGGTACTTCAATTCCTCTCCAAATCCATGCTCCTCTAATTTCCAAATTTGGTTCATCACCATAAACTCCATGAATAGCAAATGAATATTTTCTGAAATTTTAATCCAATCTTTAGTTAATAAATCCTTTCATTAAATTATTTGTTAAAATTATTTATTTACCCTCATTTTATGATTTATTATAGGTGATAATCCACAAAGACCAACCTTGAGTGTCAACTGAAGTAAAAAGTTATTAAATATTCTTTGAAATGTCTTTTTCAGCAAAAAAGGCTCTTTTATAATCATCAATATTGAATGGAGATGGTGGAAGTAAATCTAAAGGATTTTTTTTCTTTTCAGGAGCAGGTTCATCATCTTCCTAATCTTTTTATTTTTATGCCTCCTTAGGCTTTTCAGCTTCCTTTGGTTTCTATTCCTTTTACTTTTATTCTTTTGGTTTTTATTCCTTAGGTTTTTCTTCCTTAGGTTTTTCTTCTTTTGGTTTTTATTCTTTAGGTTTTTATTCTTCTTATTTAGGTAATGGGAAAGCAACTTTACATAATCTAACTCTTCCAAAATTCTATATATATCTATATGTTATATACTTTTTTAAATTAAGGTAGTTCAGTTACAGCTGTGAACCATTTCATAAGAGAAGGATATGATTTTCTAGTTTTTTCATCAATCAATAAAGTGAAAAATGGAGCAATTCTTACAATAAGGGTAATATCTGCAATTGTTAATTTATCCCCAACCAAATATGGAGAATTCTTGAAATGGGCCTCTAATTATTTTAATTTCTCATTAATGATATTTCTTGAAGTTTTGAATGAATCTTCATTAACTGGTATATGTCCCCATATTTAAGTGAATGTAGTCATGAAATTTGGATCTAATTCATTTACTGTCCAATCAATCCATTAATCAACTTATGATTATTAGAAGGGAGTAGCACTTAAATAATTCTTAACATTATACCCATATAATCCTGATTCTTATTTTGATCTTGCAAGGTATCTACAGATAGCATTACTCTCATATATGAATCCATCAGTTGTTTCAATGACAGGAACTTTAGCAAATGGGTTTCTTGCTAAATGTTCTTTTGAATCGCATTGATTATATGCAACTTCAACTAATTCAATTGGAATTTCAAGAAGATCTGCTACTAAATGTATTTAACTGAGTCTAGGATTTGTTGATGGGCCGTATAACTTGAATGACATATTTTAATAAAAGATATTAAATTTAAATCATTTATTAATATTAGAATTCTTTCATAAATTTTGTAAACTATTGATAATTTATTCGAATGAAGGCCTTTGATTAGGATTAGGATGCCAACACTATGTCATTAATACTTTAATCTCCTATTAACATTCAAATTAGAGATCAGGTCTTTAATTCTGTTCAGTCACAGCCTTCATAATTTGCATTGGATTAGCTATATTCATATAGGGTATCTATCTTGAAAATATTTCATATAAAACTATCTATTTATATTTTATTAAATTAATACTCCATAAGAATATACATCTGCTTTATTTGTATACATTTCCCCTCTAAACACTTCAGGAGCCATCCAGTGCTAATATATAATTAATAAACTTACAAAGGTTCCAACAACAGCTGTCATCCATTCTGTCTTTTCCAATGCTGTTCTAGCCAAACCAAAATCTGCAATCTTAATATTTGAATCAGGACTATATGGTTAATCTAACAAAATACTATAATTTTAATTAGTATATACTTTAATGATTTCAAGTCTCTATGCATAAATCCTAATTTATGAATATAAGCCATGCCTTCAGCTATAAATAAACTTAGTTTCAATTTTGTTAATTCATCAATATGAGTCTCTCTATTTCTATGAATTAAATCAAAAAGAGAACCTCCTGAACAGAACTCTGTTATGATATATAATTTATTTTAATTGAAAGTAATCCCTATTAAACAAACTAAATTTTAATGATGTCTCACTTTCACCAAAGTCACTATTTCCCTCTTGTATTCTTTCATCTTTTATTCATCCTTTTCATTGATATCAATATCCTTGATTGCCACTATTTCATTTTTGTATTTTCCACGATATACTACTCCAGATCCACCTGAGGCTATTTGCTCATAAAATACTAACTCATGGTATTATATGATAAAATCACTAATATCCACTTCACCATCAATAATTTGGTTTGCATTTTCTAAAATTTACAAATGTATTTTTTATCTGATAGGCGTTAGGTTGAAAGTTGGATTTACCGATTAAGCTAAATTTTGAGGTGCTTACTATTTCATTTCTATTTTTTATTAAAATTAATCATCATATGTCATAGGTATAAGATCTTCTTCATCATCTTCAATTACAATGTTTTATTATTAAGAATTTTATTAATGTATTTAAGGTATCTACTATTAGTAAATTTACTATTAATTAATTTATTATTAAAAGCTTATTGGTTATTATTATTGAGAGATATTTTATATATAATCTTTCTTTTGTTATTGATCTTAATTTGCTATTTAAGAAAAATTAATATCAGTTGGTAAGAGAAAAGCATTTGTTTATGTCTAATGAGGTTTCTCATCAAAATTTATAAGATCAAAAGGTTCATTATTTTTATTTAAAGGAACAACATTGTAATGAACATCAAGTAAATTGGTTACTTCAATTATTTTTGATTTTTCTTGCTAGTTTTAATTTAAAATTTGAGATTAAACTTATTAGGGTTATTATATTTTTAAAGAATCATGAAAATTATTATTTTAAGGTTTATCATCATTTATTTAAAAAATAATTTATGAAAGCATTTAAGGATCAATTTCAGTTTAAATTGATTCTCTTCCTGCTTATTATATAAATTAATTATTAAATGATGATTAAGAAATAGATTATTATTATTATTATTACTATTATTATTATTATTATTATTATTATTATTATTATTATTATTATTATTATTATTATTATTATTATTATTATTATTATTATTATTATTATTATTATTATTATGATTATTTTTTTTCAAATGTTTATGTAAAATCAACCCAAGGTTAATCATATTCTTATAATTATTACTAATTTCCTTAATTATTTAAGAATCCAAAATCTGCAAAGAAATCTTGATTATTACTGCTATTATAATTTGACTATATTTAATTTTATGGTTTATCAAAATCAGACATAGATAGTAGAACTTATTATAATTTTTACACAGTCACTTAATAACTAACAGGCATTTTAATTCCATGTATAGATCTTTAAGGATTAAGTTCAATTTTTGTTTTTCCTTTAAAATATTCAACAGATTTTATATATTTAATGACTTCAGGTTGTAATGTAGGCATGAACCTTTTTATTTCTGTGAATTCAATTAAAGTTGAACATTTTTCAAATAGCTTCTTAGTTTTGAAATAGTTTTCTTCGTATCTTTGATCAACACTTAAAATCCATTCTGTTAATTTAGCTGTATCTAAATTATCACTTGTATCTAAAGTTTCTTTAACAGCAATCCATAAATGCAGTAACATTGACAATAATGAATAGGTTTCATCAACCATTTGCATAATTATCAAAGTTTGAATCCTCCAAAGAGAATTTGGTTAAAATATTTCAGAAAGGAATAATAAACAATCTGACCAATATTTTAAGAAATCATCTATTAATTTAGATTCAAGTGGTTTCCAAAATTCTCCTCTTTCCAATGATAAGAAAAGAGGAGATAAGGAATAACTTCCTTCTAATAAGTTTTTATTCGCATAACAAAGAATTAATTTTTTGTTTATGATTGTAAAATAATTAGCAATTACTTTTACTTCATTTTAAGGATTAATCTTAATTCTTTGTTTATATAAATCAGTCAAAATCTTCATTATACTCCAAATATTAGGTTGATTCTTTTATTTTTAATCTTATAAAACATCTGGTGGCCCCTTTTTAATATATTGATGTAACAGAATTGCCAATTTCATCATAACTTTTTAACTTTCAGGATGTGGTTATATAATTTTTTGTTAGATTGCAAGATAAAATTTAGGTATTTTTTCTCTTTTCAACCATGCTTTAAAAACTAAAGATCTTATATCTTCTAATCTTGGAGGGTCATCATCATTGCTTGTACTTTGAATGACCCATGCTTCTGTTTTTTTACTTAATGTGAATAGATAGCGTTTAACTTAATCAAAAAAACCAAGAGGAGCTGCCTTTTTCTCAATATAAACATTATCTACAGAAGCAAAATGTTTATTTAAATTAGGAACAGGAATTGGTTAATTAGATTTTTCTATGAATCTCTAAGGCAACTACCAATTATTTTGTATTTTTTATAATAATTCTTGTGCTGTTGGCCTATTCTTAGGATTAACAACAAAAAGAGATTAAATCAGTTAGATTAGCCTAGTGTTATGTTAAAATTGACTACTTAGGTGAATATTCATGAGAATCTGGTATGAAATAATGATTATTAACTGCTGCTAAACCACTTTCAAATGGAGGTTTCTAAAAGCAAAACATAAATAACAAAACACCAAGAGCAAATATGTCTGCACTTTCAGTAATAGGATAATTAGCATAGAAATCAATATATTCTGGTGCACGATAAAAAGGTGTTGTATTTTCTTCAATTTCATCTTTAATTGTATCTCTATTAGTATTGTCTATTTTAAAGTATTTTGTTTTTGTGACACTGCCAAAATCACAGAGTTTAAAATAACCCAAAGAATTTAACAGTACATTTTCCATTTTAACATCCCTATGAATATAACCTAACTAAATATTTATTTAAGAGTTAGTACTTAATGAATTTAGATTAATCCCTTGATAATGTCTCTTGCAACCATCAATACTAATTATTCAGGAGGTCTTCTATTAATCTTGATGATATTTTTGATAATACATATGTTGTCATTAAATCTATTAAACTTCCTTTAGAACAATTTTCTAAAATCAAGATTCCACTAGTTTAGCCTTATAATTGAGTTATGCCAGACTTCTCAAGTTTTACAATTCCTTCTCCTTAAATTTTATTCAAAATGTCCATTTCTATTTAAAATGCTCTAAATGCTTTAGGGTTTGACTTGTAACATACTTTGGCTACAAGATTTTGATGCTGAGTAGCATAAACTGTAGCAAAGTTACCTTCACCTATTTTTTTTTAGAGAATGTATGTGTCTTTATCTAATTAAATTTTCATTTAATAAATTCATGCATTCAAATATACTAATGATATAACTCCATCAGATGATGCTGCATATGTAGCATTTTCAGTTTAAGTCAAAGCCATGATTTATTGTTTTTTATCTAAAATATTATTGATATTTTTATACCTTATCTAAATGGTTTATAATCTACAATTGTTGATAATGTTTCTAAATTTATGATTTTGATTTGTCCATCATTGCAAGCACATATTAATGATGTTTGATACTGATTTAATTTCATAAATTTGATTTCTGTAAAAGGTAACTTAAAAATATAATTAAACAATTACTTCTAATGTTTTATAGATTTAATTTTTTCTGATATCTAAGAAATTGACAGTTCCTTTTTTCTAATTTCCTATTAATATTGAATTTAGGGGAGTAGAAAATAAAATGTCTGTTCCATTAAAGTTTTCTTATGCTACTATATTACGATTAGAAGGTAATAACATATCATACAATCCAAAATGAGGTTTATTTGTTGAACTATAAATTGAAGCAAAAACTGTTCCCTCATTAATGAATGTTAAATCAGTTGTTGGTCTAACTTTACTATTAAGTAAAAATAGTGGTGTATTGAGTTTATTTACTCTATTGAGTTTCCAAATATAAGCACTATTATTAACATCATGTCCAATAAATAATTCACCTGTATTATTAAATTTAAGGGAATCAATTTAATCTCTTTATTATGTATTAAATTCAGCAACTACTTGGGATGATTATTTAAATGTCATTACATTAACCATTCCTTTTCCACCTTATAAAAATAATGGTAAATGAGGATGAGATGCCAAACATTATAAATCTTCTTCTGGAATTTATTTACTAGAACAATTCTAAAATTTTTCCATGAAATCCTTTTCAGTAAAATCTTTATATTCTTCATATGGATATGCTCTTGATTTTAAATATGGTTCTTTTTCTTTATCAAATCCAACTTAGATTCCTAAAGCTGATGAACATAATTTTATAATGTAGGGTTTATTTGTTAAAGAAGCTTCTGATCTTATAGCTTCATCTATTGTCTCTTCTTCTACTAAATTATAACCATCAAGTGATCTATTTTTATGTTAAAGAGTATTATAAAATTTCATATGCTTTAAGAATTTACCATATAATACAAATCCTTCAATTGGATTAGCATTATTAATACACATACTTTTAATTTAATCAGTTTTTATTTTAAATACTTCAACACCTTATTTAAAGATTTTATTTTTAAATGTAATTATAGATTATTCATCAAAATTACTTATTGGATATTTAAATGCTTATTTAGTTCTATTAATTGAAATTTCTTCCAAATATTAATCTAATCCAACTTTAGAACAAATTTAAAAGAAATTATTTAAATTGAATATTTTTTCAAGTTATTTAAAGTATTAACTTTTAGCAAATGAAGATTCTTTTAAAACCATTCTTAAATCTTCAATAAAATTTTATTCTTATGAAAAATCAGAGAGATTTTTAAATAAAGTGATTACCATTTCATTCCTAGTTGTCACATATTATTCAGCCATAGTAAATATATTACTATAACTAGTTATTGCAATATTAAACATTTCTAATTTAAAATAACTTTTAGATATAGACAAGAAATATTTTACAATTAAAGATTACAATGTAAAATATATAAATTAATTCTAAATATTTTCTTCATTTGAACTCTTTTCTTAATTAATATCTTATTATTATGAATCTTCAAGACTGTCTGATCTTTATGAATTTTATTATTCTTATTCTAATGTTATTGGTTTATGCTTTTATAAATAATCTTATTCACTAACATTATATAAATCTTCAGGATAAGCATCTTATAAAACATCTAAACTTCTATATGCTTTGAATCCTTTATTTGAATATAGTCTTTTATTTTTTATTACTGATTTTACTAATTCACAGAAATCATCTCTCAAATTCTCATATCCACAATCTTATACATGTTATTTATAAACAGTATTACAAAAAGTCTCCAATTTTCTCAACTATTCAAATGCATTATCCCATAAATGTAATTCCAATGCTAAAATTAATGTCATGAATAATGCCAATAATTTAATGATATTCAATTTCAATTTATTATCAAATTTCTTTTGATAATATTATGATTATTAAAATAGTTTTAATCCAACATCAACTTCATATAGACTTTAAACAAATGTTAAATAATATTCTTAACTCTTTTCAGATAAAGGATAATCGAAACATATTCTATATAATAAACTTTATGTTTCTTAACAAAAAGATATAAATTCATCGAATCCTGTTTAATCATAATGAATTGCAAATGTAAGTAAACGAGCAGGAGACTTTAATTATCTTAATTTCTTCAATGCAATATCATAAAGTTTTGTTTTATTATGATTTGTAAAATTAGCTAAATCATCAAGTTTTTACATTAATTATACATAATTTGTAAAATGTTCTTAATCTTCAATTGCTTAAACTATATACATTTCAATCTATAATTCAATTAATTATTCTGATTGTTCTGTTTCTTAATTTAAATCTTAAGCAAATATCATTCCTAATTATGGCATTTAAATATTATAATAATATTCTACTGCTTATTATTTAATAAATTCTTAATTATTATTAATAGTTTTAATTGGTACTTATTCTATAACCTCTTCTTCTTCTGATTCTTCACTTTCATAAAATTGAGAAAATATATCATCTTCAGCTTTCTTACTCTTTTTTTTATTTGCATCAATACTTTATTGAATTTCTCTTTTAACATTTATATTATCTTTCAATTTTTCAACCAAAAGAATAGCTGATGGATGATAATATGATAATTAAGGTGTAAATGTAGAAGGCCAACTAATACAAACAGCTTTTCCAAAATTATCATATTCTAAAATATGATGTTCAGGTTCTCTTAATAAAACATTAACACTATCAACATATTTTCCCAATAGATAATAACCAATATGCAATAACCAAATATCATTCATTTCCTCACCACTTTTAATAAAATAGTCTTAAATTAATTATTCTCCAACAGGTCCACCTTAAGGTTCATAGATCTTAGTAGTTAAATAAGCTAATTATATATCCTCCATATATCTAGCCATTACATTTACTGCATCATTCAAATGTCCTCCTATTAAGAAAAAGGCAGCTGCATCTTAATATCTTTTTTTGGATACTAAAGCATATGCATTTTTTGATGCTGCTGATTTCCATCTAGGTTAAGTGAAATCTTATTGCAAAAATTCATAAGTTGATTTGAATTCCTTACCAGAATTAACTTCCTTTTTGAAAAGGGTTGTAATTACACTCTTTTTACCTAAAACTATAAAATATAATAATGATTAAAATGGATCCTTTGATTATTTATAAATCTACAATGCAATTTCTTCTAATCTTTATTTAATAAATGATAAATCCATCCATAAAACTGCTGCATATCTTTTAAGTAAATTCCAAGATAAATCATCAGAGCTTACAATACATTCTTACCATAAAGTTTCTTTTTATAATGAATGTAATGCCCATACTACTTCTTTTGAACTTAAAACACGATTCCTTTTATGTGTGGGTTGATTTCTAAAGATATGCACATGGAACATAAACATTGCAGCATAAAAATCTAATGAACGTTAATTATCTTCATAATATCTTAAATAATCTAGGATTATGTTAATTTTTAATGGATATTCTTAACATATCTTTTTAAGTATATCAACTGGATTTAGAGTGTAATCATATGAATCTTTGTCTTATAATTTCTTCATTTCATATATTTTAATAGCATCAACCCATAAAGGTTCTGGTTCAGAATTCATATGATATAATTCTAATAAATTTTTATATGGAACCATAAAATGATTTCCTAAAGCACCATGATGTTTGAATTTCAGACATATTAACTTTAAGATAAATTATACTAATTATAATTTACCTAGTTGTATTAATTCACTCAGAAAATCAAAATCTTATAATTGAACATTGTCTTAATTATATAATAATAGAAAATACTTTATTAATTTATTAATTTGTAATTTAAAGTACTGGGCATCCAAAACTTATCAGCTAAACAACGTATTAATGAATTTCCTAATACTTTAATTTTTCTTCCTGTTTTTACAATCAAACAATCTTTTATTGTATAGAATCTGTAATTTTGTGGCATTGAATATTTAGATAATCGTTTACAATAGATTCCCTCTCTATTATTTAAATATTTTCTATAAATATTAAATAAATAAATTACTATTTAATTGAAGACAATTTATAATTTTAATCACTTTTATCAAATTGAATAGCAAATGCAGTCAAGTAATTATCTGTTTATAAAATAAATGCAAAGTTAGTTAATGGTACAACTTATACAATAACTTTAGAAACATCATAAAGAGCTTTATCTACTCTAACAAGAAATGATTGAAGATTGAATCTAACTAAAAATTCTCCTGATGAGGAATGAAAATCAATTTCATTTTAATGACTTATTACAAAATAAATAGGTTGAATTCCTCTTAATTATCCAACTTCTTTAATATTATAATTTTTAGAGATTTAAACAATTTATTACATTTACTCATTAAATCCCTTTAATTATTTTCCATTAATAGAAATAAAAGAAAGTTCAGTTGATTGTAATATCTATAATCTTTCATAAACAAAATCTAATTTCCATGTTTTTAATTCTATAACTTAAAAATCAATTTATCCATGACCATAAATTTCAAATTGAATTTAGATTAAAGCAATTTTTTGTTTGGCTATAATTAATAATTGTAATTCCTCTATTTCATAATTAATTTTTTTCCAATCACTAATTGAATCTCTATAATCAATTGATAGATGATTATATAGATTAAGATGTACTTCTACTAATTAATTTGATTATATAATGAAAGCCAAACATTATTAAGCATTAGATGATATGAGTAGAATAACATCATTTTCTTTTACTTTATCTCTAGTAATATACATTTGCTAATCTATTATATACATTTTATTTTACATTTTGATAGATTGGAATTAATTTTCCAAATTTTAGATTGTCCATCTTAAATATGATATTCCTAACTAATTACACTATTCAATTTTAATTATTATAAACATAAGTAATTCCAATCATTTATTATAGCCACTTGACTTTTACAAATTGAAAAATGTACAATATTTTAAAATAAAAATTTTTCACATTAAAATACTTATTTAGTATCATCTTTCAAATTTACACATATTTTGATTAAATTCCATAATCTATCAAATCCAATAATTTCTATTTTTTATCCTTCAATCTAATCTACTAAAAGAATCTTTTTTATTTATTTAAAAATATCACTTTTAGTTTTCTTAATAACTTTTACAGATTCTTCTAAAGAATAATTTCTAAGAAAATCTAATTTAACCACACTTAATTCAAATTCTTAATGTAATAATAGATAATCAACACTAGATTATTCAGTATCTTAAACTCCAAATTAATCTGATTCTAAATATATATTTTTTGAAGGATAGGGTGTTTAACCTTTTAGATAAATAAAACAAAATGATGAGATTTAATCAAAATGTAAAGTGTGTAATTTACAGAAATTTTTACATTAAATCATTTCTTGCCATACTGTTAATTAATTAGTTTTAGTTAATGTAACAATAGTATTAGGAGTAGGAAAAGGAGATGGAGCTATTCTAAGTGTACCTCTAAATTTGTAAGAAATTACTTCATCCTAATGATCTAATTTCACTCTTTATTATTATGATAATACTCCTTCTTAAACTTCTTTAATTGAATTGAAATCCCAAACAATAACAGTATTTTCATGAAGAGTTGTAAAATAACGAACATCTGGAGAGAATTTCACATTTGCTATTTAGTATTCCAATTCTAATGTATAAATTTCTGTCAGATCAATTAATTCATATTAATCTAATTGTCCAAGTAATCTATTTTACTTATGAGTTGCTTTCCATATATGTAATTTATTTTATGAACATCCTATAATATGTTCATCTGTTTTATAGAACAATATATATACCATCAAAAGAGAAAAATGCATCTCTTATGGGATTTGTGCAATTTTTACTGTAACTCTATTCCCATCCATTCAATAAAGGCTTATACGCTATCAACTCTCTTTCACAGAACACGACAAATACTCCTTTACTAGATGTTGCCACAGCCACGATGTCACTCATATAATTCCTAAAAGTCTAAGGAGAATCTCATGATGTTAGTACTTGCATATGTTACAATATTTCTTTTGTGTAAATTATTAGCTTCTCTTTTGAATAGGTAAGTATACACTCGTTCTAAAAATGTGAGACACTTTTTAGTATTTAATACATATTATTATATATAATTTAAATTAAATGAAGAAAGTCAAAGGAGGAGACTTTAATTTTGCTTCAAGAGCATAAAAGATAGATAAACTTGAATTTCCATAATCTACTGAAGAGCGTTTCATTGTTAAAGCCAATAAAGATGTATTTATAATTATTTTTTTATTTTCTAGGGAGTTGGATTCTAATGGAAAACTTATGATGAAAAATTATTAGCTAGAAGTATAGACAAATAGACTTTTGATAATACTGTGGGTGAAGCTACTCGTATTTGTCGAAATTTATGGAGAGAAAAATAAAGAGAAGAACATAAAGATCCTACAAAGGCATATTAACCACTTCTTTATGTTTCTGTTTTTTTAATCCTTTTGGCTTTTGTGTTTCTTTTAGTTTTAATCTATGGAAATAGAGATAAATTAGGATTGCTTTATGTTGCAGTATCAATTTTATGTTTAGCTGCATGTATTTATTTATATTATAAAAGTGCTTACTTTAATTGTTGTTGCTAAGACTTGGAGTTTAGAACCTTAATTCATGGATTTGGAGAAAGAACAGCTAAATAAAGTGACTGAATACTTAAACAATCAGAATTCATAAATTTATCAAGCCAAAGGATATAAATGGTAGGTTGAACCTAATCTTTATTGGATTGAGTTGGTAGCAATTTGATAAATATAATTATATATAATATACATATATATATATATATTTGATTCTAAAGTCTAAAAATCTTAATTATATTTAAATTAAACCTATTATATATATATATGTAAAGAAACTGAATAAAATTGAACAAGAAAGTTAATTTTATATTTTTGATATAGTATTCCATTAATCTAAGAATTTCTTTATTTTAGTTCTTTCATCATCATCATCATATATGATAATAATCTTTAATAATTTTTATTATGATATGAATTTTATCTTGATCAATGAATTATTTTATTTAAAGATCTTTAAAGAAGTTATATTTGAATAAGTAAGTAGATAGGATATTCATACATTTTTTATTTTATAATTTCTGTGTAATAACGATATATAATTTAATTATAATTTCAGCAACATCCACGTGAACTAGAACTATTTTATTAATTTTATGTTTAATTAAAAGCTTATCCAATTCTGACTCCTGGTAGTTCATTCTTTTGTTAACTATTCTATACAATTTTAAACACTTGTTATGCTGCTAATGAGAATGTCTAAAAAATATAGTTGATATTACATCAATAATATTTAAATTATCCTTTGCACTTGTTTCAATAAATAATAGATTTATTTCATTCGCTAATTACTATCCTTCTGATTTGGAAACTTAACGACATTTATATTATTTATATTATACTATTCTTCTAAATCAATTTTATTTCCAACTAATACTATCACCATATCCTAAGTGCCATATGTTTAACATTCTTTTATCCAATTTCTAACACTTTCAAAAGATTTCCTACTCGTGATATCATATACTATAATTGCTGCTTATGCTGATCTATAATATTATCTTGTTATAGAATTATAGCAATATAATCCAACAGTATCCCAAATTTTTAATTTGATCTATTTATTCTCTAAATCCAGAATTTTGGTTCGCAATTCAAACCCATTTAATCCTGTCTCACGAAACTTCTATTCCAAAAATTAATTCAAAATGCTGGATTTTCCAACATCTTCGTATTATGATATTATTATTACAATTATCTCCTATTATGATAAACTTAAACAGAGAATGATATGACATTAATAATAATATTCAAATTAAATCAAAGCTTTCCCCATAATTCTACCATTATATAAAATTCTTGAAATTTATATATGTTATATCTATCTATATTATATAATATAATAGAATTAATAAATGAGATAATTAATTATAATAAATATCATAATAAAATAAAGTCATTTGTATTTTTTTTTATTACCTCATAAACAACTAAACAAATATTTTCTGTAATTAAATAACAATACCAAAAATGATTTTATAATTAGTTTAAGTCTAATCTAGTAATTATTCCATTAATCAATATAAATATTTCAATGATTCAAATAAATATAAGTGAAAATGTGAAAAAATATGGTAATAGAAAAATAATTGAAATTTATAAAATAAATTGAGCAATTTTTGAAGAAAATAAAAAATACTATAAAGCAAAAAGGAAAGAATTAATAAATTCTAGTATTTAATTCTCTAACTATATTTTCTATTCTCAATTCATTTCAATTTTTAAGTGATTGATTTGATAACATTTTGATTATCACAACTCAAGTAAAATATTATAAGATTTATCTTATGAATATAATCAACAATAAATCATAATTTGTGACATGTTTTTGAAAATATTTATTGCATTCTTTTAAGCAAAAATCATTTCAATTTTTTCTGATTTTATAATTCTTAAAAAAAGATTCAACAAAATAGAACCATCTTAGTAAGGAATAATAGTAATTGTTATTTTTAGCAATAGGAAACACTGATGGTTATTCTAGTATTGAGGATAGATTTATACAATTACTTTTTTAATTTTGAATACAATAAGAATTAATTAAATCTTTATATATGTCGAACGATAACCCAGACGGCCAACCATTGGATTTTGAGTACTATGAGACAAATTATCCATACTTGAATGTTAAAAAGAATCTATTGAATAATACATTGTCTAAGTGGAGAAGGGCTATCGCTCCATATAATCCATTTGCTATGCAATAAATTCCTAATTAGAAGCGTATGGGTATGGGAATTAGAAATGGAAATGGATTCTATTTTCCAGATCCTTATCCTAATAGAGTAAATTGGAGTGTATTCTTCCCAACTCATTATGATCCTTTGAGTGAATAACACTTTGGCAATCATGGATGGCAAACTAGAAAGTAATTAGAAATCCTATTTGAAATAGAGATGCTCCTATGTTTACAGCATTAGCAATTAGAGCTTAAGCACTTCCAAGAGGTTGTGTTAGATAGATTGAATAATTTAAACGATGTTAGAGTGTGAATGGAGTAACTAAATGTTAAGAAGAAGCTGATAATATTATATCAATTTGTCCAAAATGGGCTTTGGAAGGATTAAAAGAAAAAAAGAAGTAACTTGATAAGATCGAGGCAATCTAAACACTTTAATATCGTTCTGTGTTAGAAGTCTCTCCATATAATAAAGTATATGCTGATCATTGAAATAAAAGGGTAGAACAGTGAAAGATGTTTCAGATAAGACTTGGGCTGATGGACACAGAGAGAAACTTAGACCAGACACAATGTGGGCTGATGAAAGATACACTAATATTACTCAAGCTGAGATCAATGAAGCCAAAAAACGTGTTGCTGCTAGGGATTAAGCAAGTGGAAGGTATTAATATATTATTGAATGATTTAGAGTCAAAGAAGCAGTTTATCCAGTACATCATCCAGATCTTACAAGTTCTCATCAGAGCGAAGATAAACCTCTATATCCATGATTTATTAATATATGCAACGGAAAATATTAAATAATAAATATAATAATAATTAAATAAAATCTTTGAGGATGGTATGAGTTTAATGCTTAATTAGGGTCTACTTAATATCATTAGAAAGATTAAGAAGTCAGAAAAGGAATTAAGAATTCTTGTATTAGGTTTAGATAATGCAGGAAAAACTACTATTTTAAAGGCATTGTCAAATGAAGATATAAATCAAATTGCTCCTACTCATGGCTTTAACATTAAAAATTTATAACACGAAGGATTTAAACTTAATGTTTGGGATGTAGGAGGTTAGGAGGTAAATCCAAAACTACTTTATAGAAACTTCGAGAATATTGGAGCAACTTCTATGAAAATACAGATGCTTTAGTATTTGTGATTGATTCATCTGATTAAATGCGTTTGGAAGAGGGAGGCAAAGAGTTAGATAAATTACTTGGAGAAGCTGAATTAAAGAAAGTACCTCTCTTGGTATTTGCAAATAAATAAGACTTGGTTTAAGCACTTCCTGCTGATGAGGTTAGTATTCTATCTAATTAAGATCTCTGATAGTTTGAAATTAAATAAAATCAATGATAGATAATGGTCTATAGTTGCATGTTCAGCCAAAACTCAAGAAGGTTTATAAGAAGGAATGGAATGGTTGATTAAGACAGTCCAAGACAAATGAATATTAAATATTAAATATATTTAGATGAAAACATAGATCGGAGTTTTAATTCATCTTCACAAATTCACAAATATAGATCTCTCTACATAAGGAATCTATCAAATTAGAGTTTCTGTGGTATTAAAATAAACTTAAATTCTCTTAGCCAGGAGCTTAGCCATACCTTATTATTAATTCCACTCGTTAAGAAGCCATTTCAGTTAATGAGGTGGACGAAAAACATATATGTTATCCAGAAAATATACATCATTAATATTTTTATTCTCAAGGATTTTTAATAATATATGAGGATGAAGAAATGCTAACTAATGTTGGTTGTGCATTCCGATTAGAAGAAATATAATTTAATTCAAATATTCAAATCTAGATGGATTTACTTTTCTTAGATATAAAGTCACTTCCAGATATACATTCTCAAGACTTCACTTAAAATGTGATGCATTTACATTCAAAAATGAAACCAGTATCACATGCTTCATTCTTAGTGTCCAATCCACATCATTACAATTAAATGTATTATCCTGTTGATTTTGATACTAATCATTTCTGTAATGTATAAACTCAAATCTTTACTACTCCTATTAACATATCATTCACTAAAGGATTTGTAGAAGAATAAATTAAACTTCATTTTAATACTTTCATTAATTAAACTATGCATGTACTCACTTCTAATAGAAATTCTCTTCAAAACATAATGTTAAAGATATAATCAGATAAAAAAATCATTCAATTATCATATAAAGAATAAGAATATAATATCAATGATCCTAATTTAATAAACTAGATTAATTAGGTATATTATTCTAACTTATTAGAGTTTTTATGACTTACATCACGATCTCTATGTCCTATGGTGTGAATTAATTTCAATCTTAAAAGATAATTATATAAATCTCCTTAGAATTTTATAATAAGATTATTGTGATTAAATAAAATAAAGATGGATGAATTGCATTTTAAGTTATTCTACTTAAAATATCAATCTTTCTTCTCATACAAATCAAGAATTAGCAAAAAATAAACGACATTCCTTAAAAAATACTGAATTTTAAAGAATAGTTTATATTGAAGCCATAATTCCTTTGCATTCACATCCATTTATCTTTAGAACCACTCACTTAAAGCAAGGATTATAATAAATTTCAAATGATTTTAGAGTTCATTATGTTGTTTTACTTCATGGTTATTAAGGTACATCTTATGATATGAGATATTGGAAGGCAATTCTAAAAATTCGTTTTTAGGATAAAATAAAATTGATATTGCCTACATGTAATGAATTCATTAATAATAAATCTATTAAATAATAAGCTTATGATTTAGCTGAAGAAATAATTGATTATATAAATCATGAAAGAGTATTTGATTTCAAATTATCTTTTGTTGGACACTCTTTAGGTGGACTTATAATTAGAGCAGCTTTACCAATGTTATAATAGTTTTAAATTTAAATGCATTCTTATATAAGTTTAGGTACTCCACATTGTGGATATGCCCCATCTAAAAGCTTTTTAATTGATACAGGGTTAATGATGATTTAAAAATGGAATAAATGCAAAACACTTCAAGAATTGAGTTAAAAAGATAATAAGAATATAGCATCAACTTTTCTTTATTAGTTAAGTACATTTGAGGGATTAGAATGGTTTAATAATGTTGTTATTCTATCATCTCATTAAGATCATTATGTACCTTTTCAATCAGCATTAATTTAAAATATTGAAGAATCTAATGATCCAAAAATCATATTTTATAATTAAATGGTTACAAATATATAATCAAAATGTAAAAAGATTGATAGATTTGATATTGACTTTTTGATTACAAAAAAGTATAAATATAATTTAATATATTAAGAAAATTGGATAAATTTATAGGAAGGGCAGCTCATATAGAATTTATAGATAACTTATTATTCGTAAAGATGTTTGTTTACTTATTCAGTGAATTTTTTATCTGAATTTTTAGAAATAATAATTATCCTATTTAATTTAAATTTACATTTATTTAATAAATCATTTTATAATTTATAATATTTTCTATAAAAAATATTTGCATATAAATTATATAATTATCAAATTTCACTTTGATTAAATTAAAAATGAGGTAATTCAACATCGGAATAACATTCTTCAAGTTCCTTCTCATAATTTTAATTTTATTTATCTTCAGGTTTTTCTAAAGAACCTAATATTTCAAATTCATCTGAAAATTAAGCTTAAGCAAATTGTGCTGGAAATGACTAATTTGTTAATTTTGGTTGAGTTATAGTTACTTGTTATTTTGCAATTGGCTTTTCCATTTAAGATAATTTTTCATCTAATTTCCCTTATACTTTATCAACTGTATATAATTCTTATCCTTTATCTAAAACTTATTTTCTTTATTTTTAGGTTTATCCTTATGGTTTAAAAGATGGAATAATGCCTTTTTTTTATTATTACTGTTTTTTTTCTTATTCAGCAGTTTATTTCTCATCTAATATAACTTCTTAGGTATCATCTACTGAAAAGTCATCTATCAAAATATCTTTAGAATTATCTTTTTGTTCTTTTACTTCTTCAAATTATACAGCTCTTTTAATTATATGATCATCTTTTAATACTTCTTTTTATACTTCAATTATTTCTTAAGATTTATCTGGTTAAATAATATTTATTGATTTATCTTTATATTATTGATTATCATCATTTTGAATAGTTTCTTTATTTGTATTTTAAAAAGAATATCGTTTTAGATTTTTAAATTTAAAGTCATCATTTAAGAATTCTTATTCTAAAAATGATAATAAAATAGTAGGAGCTGTTGCTTTTAGAAAATCATAATGATAATATTCTTGATATGGTACATTTCCATCAGGTCTAGGTAACCATTCAACTAGAAATAATCCATTTTCTAAAGATATTGACTTTATTTTATCACCTTAATCAGATTTCAATGAAAGTAAAGTTTAATTTTGAATTTATTATTATTTAATTAAATATTTCTCATTCTAATTCAAATTATTTTGTAATTAAATTTATTATTGTTATTATTATTATTAAACTTGTAATTATTATTATATCTATTAAGGTAATGGTAGAATTTAATTGTTATTCAATTTGTTATTTTTTTCATTTGATTTTTCAATTTTTTTTTGCCTTTTAAAAATTGGATAATTTTCATCAGATGGAATAACAGGTAATTTAGCATGATTCTCAAAATTTTACATTTTATTATTATTTTCTCTCATTTTCTATAAAGTTTATTAATCAAATCTGCTACCACAAACAGAAAAATAATTATAATCTTCTATCAATTCTTAATAATTCTCTTTCATAAATTTTTCTGTTTCTTGTTTCTATTCATTATTACTGTATTCAACAAGATATCTAATTCCACCTGCATTAGAAACCATTTTTTTTAAGATTTTCATTGGCTTAATATCTGTCTCATCTTATGGGTCAATTAAAATCAATTCACAATCATTTTTCTTCTGGGACATTTATTTAATATTTTTACATGATATTATAAATATTATTAATATATATTCATAAAATCCTTCTTTTGTTTATCAAATGAGATTTCAAATACTTTATAATTTAAATTTTTAATTATTTTATCATTATAGTATCATCTAAATTAATTGATTACAATTTTATATTTAATAAAACTAAAACATTTTTCTAAAAAGTCTTTTACTAATTTTAAACTATATAGATGTTTATTATTGATATAATACTAGAAAGTAAAATAGTTTTAATAATAGAAATTATCAAATTTAGAAGAGTATAGAGAAGAATCATAGAATCAATAATAGTTTTTTAATCTTAATTAAAATAAAAGGAATTAATTATATAATTTGAATTTTAAATTAAACGAAATGTAAGACGACCCAACATTATTTACAACACTTAAAGGACACAAAGATACTATAACAGCATTGTCATTTCATCCTGGATTGTATATCAATAATTATATAGTAGAAAATCAATAGCTTCAAGCGCTAATGATGGTGTAGTATCTGTATGGTAATTGAAATAACCAAGAAAGATTTATAGATTTATGGGTCATAAAGGATAAGTAAGTGATGTACAATTCTCTCCAAATGGATTATTAATTGCATCTTGTGCTAAAGATGAGACTATAAGACTTTGGAATAATACAGTTGAAGGAAGTTCAGTATCAATAAAGGCACATTCAGCACCTGTTAGAAGTGTTTAATTTTCTTGTGATGGTTAATTATTAGTAAGTTCAAGTGATGATAAATCTGTGAAAGTTTGGAGTGTAAATGATCGTAAATTTCAATATGGATTCCAGCATACAAATTGGGTTAGAAGTGCTGTGTTTTCATAAGATGTTAGATTGATAGCATCAGGTGGTGATGATAGAGCAGTTATTATTTGGGATTGTGATTCAAAAAAAGAAGCTTAAAGATATAATGAACATATTGGAGTAGTATATAAAGTTCAATTCTCACCAGATTCTACAATATTAGGATCATGTTCTCATGATAAAAAATTAAAATTATTTGATGTAAGATCAAAAAGAGTTATATAACATTATGATGCTCATGCAGATTCAGTATTAGATTTGAAATTTCATCCATCTGGATAATTTGCTATGACATCTGGAGCTGATAGTAAAGTCAAAGTATGGGATTTAAGAATGGGTAAATTAGCATATACACTTTATGGTCATAATGGTTAAGCTACTACATGTGCATTTTCTAATCATGGAGATTATTTTGCTACTGGAGGATCTGATAGTATGATTTTAGTTTGGAATACTAATTGGGTATGCAGTGGTCAAGAATCTTTAGATGAAAAACCTAAATAAGTTAAAACTAAACCTATTTAACATACATAACCATAAGCATAATAATAATCATCTTAATAGAAAGAAAATATATAATAAACAAATAGTTAATTACCTAAGTAGAAAGAAACTGTTCTATATTCAAATGCAGATAATAGTCTACATAAAAAGAGTGAATTTAATTAAAGTGTATAATTATAGAAAGAGGATGTACCAGCTGAAGTTATTACTTAATTAGATAATATTAGTGGTCAATTAGAATTAATTACAAGGTTATAATTAATTAATTTATTTTTAGGACTTTATAAGCCCTTGAGTAAAGAGTTTCTAATAATGAATAATAAATTTGTAGACTTAATCTTGCATTAACTAGAGATTTTGAAAGAAGTGAATAAATTTAACATTAAATATATGATCTAAGACCTTTAGATGAATAAGTTTAAGATTAAGAAGAAGAAGATAATATTAATTATATTAAATTTCATCGTGCAGCTAACAATTGATTTAATTTTATTTTAAATATATAATAATTTTATTGTAAAATGTCTATATGGCAAGATAAATGCGTTCTGGATTATCATATTTAAGTATATAATATTTAATGAAGTAATAAATAAAATTAGATGCATTAGAAGAACTATATTAGGAATATAAGTAAAATGAAAAGCGTGTTTCAAAATAAAATTAAAAACATGAACAAAGAAAGAAATATAAAAATAAGAAAAAGAAAAGTACCAGTAGTAGTAGTAGTAGTAGTAGTAGTAGTAGTTCATCATCTACTAGTTCAAGTTTTTAAAAAATTACTAGTTCAAGTGAATCTGATAGTTTACCATCTTTACCTTCGAATTCTAAATATAATAAAAAACATGAAAAATTTTAGACTAAAATTTTAGATTTTGTTATTGATATTAATCCTCCTAGAAGAGATTATTTAATAGAATATGAATTGAATGGACAAAAAAAAATGACTTCAATGAAAAATTTAAATGAAAAAATAAATAAACTAAATATTTAGTCAAAATAAATATAAAATGATGATGACAAAAATGAACCTATTGATGATAATTTGAAGTAATAATTATTAAATATAATAATTTTAGATAAGATTTAAAAGATTAATTAGAACTTGGAGTGAATAGATATTATTAATAGAATCCATTTGAATACTGTTTTAGATGTAAATAATCAGGACATTAAGAAAGATAATGTACTGAATAATAAACAATATAATGTAACTATTGTTTAAGTCAAAAGCATATAGGAGATATTTGTTCTAATGTCTCATGTTTTAGATGCAATTAAATGGGACATAGAAAAAATGATTGTAGGGTAACATCATTTTATTTACATATAGACATAATTATAATAATAATAATGCATAAATTGTGGTAAAAATAGTCATAAAGAATCAGAATGTGGAATTTTAATTCAATAAATATATAAATTAACAGATTAGATTGAATGCCTAGTTTGTAGATTATATGGGCACATAAATTGTTAAAATAATATTATTTGATTTATATTTTTAAAGAGATTTCTATAATAAATTTATATTATCCATTTGTTTTCTTAATTTTAATAATTTTATTATTATACTTATTTATTTCTATATTCTAAATCTATAATAATTACATTATTATGTTATTTATAAATATTTATAAAATTCATTAAATAAACAAAAAGTTTGTTAAAAACCTTATTTTTTAGAATTACAACCTTCATTTTAATAAGGACATCGTTAATTATTGATTTGAAATATGTCATCGAATATGAGTTTTAAAACCTAAAAAAATAATTTAAATTCTCAATAATAAAATTAAAAAAACAAATTATTTACAAATCTTCTTAAATGGTTCTTTTAACGAAATCAGATATTATTAGAAAATGTATATTATGAGTTTAATAATTTTTTAGAAATCCATAAAAAATCTGACCAGAGGAGTAAGTAGAAGAAAAAGGTTGATGGTAATAACAAATATAAATATAATAAATATGAGAAAATATAGCAATATAAAACCAATCATTCTCCTCATAATACAAATTAATATCTCCTTAGTAAATTTATTGAGCAGCCGTCTACATCTTTGTCTGCTCCTGAAAGTATACTTGATATCTTGTTATTTTCAATGCCTTGAAAAGGAAACCCATGTTTGAGTGGAATTTTTATATATATATTTTTAATAAGTCAGTTTAACCATAACGAGAGGAAGTCGATTTGCTTCTCTTACTCTATCGAAATTTGATATTCATATCTAAATATTGAAATAAAAATATGAATGCTTTCAATCATCTTAAATTAACAACAATCATAATTTTGCATCTTATTTCTAAAATTCTAACTATTATTCTAAAATATACTTGAGCCTTAATAATAGATATCTTGTAAATGTAATATTGGCTTACAAAGGAAATCAAAGTATTCATTTGAATTGAAAATCATAATTAAAACAAAACTTTTAGTATTCCTCTTTTATTATTTCTTTAACACAAAGATTCTATGAGTTCTTTTAGTATTATGATTGCAAACCTCAAACAATTATTATAGGTACTCAATTAGGTGAATCTGGCATATTGTTTTCTTTCTAAATTATTTATGTAAATAGTGCAATGAATTTTTATTACAGTATAATTTAAAAAAAAATGATGGTACAGGACCTGATTTAGCTTATCCTTTTAAACTTGTTTTCTATTTTTTTACCTATCATTTATACATTATCTTTAGGTTAATACAAAACAAAGTCTTTTTGGATTACGATAGTATACATGGCTTTACACTAGATTTTTATAAGATGAGATTTATATAAAAGTATAAGATAATTATATTCCCCATTATAAGAAATATCTAAAACCTAATGATATTTCAATATATAAATAATAACTCAATATAAATACACAGTTTACTGTTTTTGTTTATGTATTTAGCACACTTACCATTTGTTCAATAAATTCCTTCAATTTATAAAAATACTTAATTTCAAATTTAGATATATATCTTAATTCAAATTCGTAAAAATTTGTTCTATAAATAATGCCAATATTCATCTTTATATTATTTTTTATTAAAAAAATAATTACTATTCAATAATCATATATCATTTCTTAGCATTTATCAGGTAATCTCAAATTTCTTTTCACCCAAATACCAACCTTTACACCATTCTTATAATCTCCTGTATAGATAATATCCTAATATTAATAAAAGTCATCGTCCAGTTCAATCCAATTTCCAATCTTAATACCATTACCTCCTTCATCATATGATCCACCACCTCTAAAATTTTAGTTTATGTATAAAATTACAAACAAACTTGATTTGCCTGATTATCTAATTTAATAGTATCCCATCTTCCAATTTTTTTTTCATTTTTATACTCACCTTTAAAAATTATTTATTTAGCCTAATTAAATTAATCCAAAATTTCAATCCATTTTCCAATTTTAATACCATCTCCTTTATCATCATATAATACATCTCCACTTAATGTTTTGTTACATAAATATATTACATCTTTTTTTTTTTCTCATTATCTCCTTATTTGACATAAAAATATAAATTCCATTTGCCAACTTTTACTCCATTTTAATAATTCCCTTTAAAAGTTATTTATTTTTGCTGATTGAATCCATTACATAATTCTACCCATTTCCCAATTTTCATGCCATTAACTTTTTCATCATAAAATCCTCCACCTCTAAAAATTTTTCATTTTAATATCTTACATCTTTTTTTTCTCATTATTTCTGAGTTTCTAATTAAAAAAAATAACCCATTTGCCAACTTTTACTCCATTTTAATAATTCCCTTTATAAGTTATTTATTTTTGTTGATTGAATCCATCACATAGCTCAATCCATTTTCCAATTTTAATACCATCTCCCTTTTAATCATATAATCCATCTCCACTAAATATTTTGTTACATAATATTTTACATGCATTCATTCCATTTATCTTTTATGTGCTGAATGTTGATATTCCACTTACCGACTTTTTGATCATTCTTGTACTCACCATTATAAGTAACATAAAATTCAGAACATAACTCATCATTTAACTCAATCCATTTTCCAATCTTAATTTGTTAACCTTCTTTATCATATGATCCACCACCACTGAATTATAAATAACTAATCTATTTTACATCTCAATTCCTGATAATGCGGTATCCCATCTACCAATCTTTTTTCCATTTTCATATTCACCTTTAAAAGTGACTTTCGATAAAGAACAAAATTTTGCAGACAACTCAACCCATTTTCCAATCTTAATGCAATCTCCTCTTTCATCATATGATCCACCACCACTAAAAATTATATTCTTTTTAATAATTACATGTAAGACCCATCCAATTTAGTAATCCAAATACCAACTTTTTTACCATTTTTATATTCGCCCTAATGAATAAGTTAAAAATCATAAGTAAAATCCTTATTTAACTCAATCCATTATCCAATTTTAATAACATCACCCCTTTCATCATATGATCCGCCGCCTCTAAAAAATTTATTATTTTCAAAATTTACATTAAGATTTTTTCTTATATCTAATTTTAAAACCATGTTTCCCATTTATTTACTTTTTTTCCTTTTTTATATTCACCAATATAAGTAATATTTGATTTTTTTTGAAATCCATCACTTAATTCAATCCATTTTCCAATTTTCATAGATAATCCATCCTCACTATATGATCCTCCCCCACTATTTTTAAATTAATTTTATTTTACATATAATATTAATCCTAGTAAAATTGCCAAACACCTCTTCTTTAATCCTAATTATAACATCCTTTTTCAATTATTTTCTTATTCCTAAATTATATTAAATAAATGGTTACTCTTGATAATCTTCATGTAAATCTATCCACTATCCTATTTTTTATCCCATATGATTGTACATACCACCTCCAACTAATACATCATTCCAAAAATAGTTCCATTAATTAATCTTATAACCATTTACTCCATATTCTCCTTTAAATTATAAGAATTTAATTTATTCCAGATTATTAAATACTAAATCATTTTTTTATCCTAATTTATTCTTCTCTCTAAAAATAAAACATTAAATATACTATCTTAGAATTTATTCATTGTAATTATAAATTTTATTCCCATTTTATTATATTATGAGATGACAATTAGTTTATATTAATTGATTATTTACTTCCTACAAGCCTTCCAATTAAATGATCTTATTTTTTGTTGAAGTTTTAGTGCTTGATTATTAAAGATAGTTCTTCTAATTAGTAGAAATTAATTCAACCAATTGACTTGTCTTGTATGCATTTTTAATGAATCTTTCCAAAAATACTCCTGCTTTTTGAATTTCTTAAGCAATATTTTTTTTTCTTTTCATCCATATTTCATAATTCTTTTCTTCAAAGAAACTATACAAAAAATCTAATTCCATTTGAGAGCATTAAAATAGGTCGAGTTTATTATAAATAATATCATGAAACATTCCATCTCCTTATTTTTAACTGTTTAAAATACTAAGGATGGAATCTCTGATAGTTGAAAAAATTATAGTGATTTCAACTTTTAATTATTCAATTTTCTCAAGAACTTCTTTCAAAATTTATTCAGTTTCACTTAGATCAAAACAGCATTTTTATCTATCGAACATTCTTTATATCTCTATGACAAGGTTGGTGTTAGATAAAATTTATTTAGAAGGTATTTAGAAATTAGTTATGCATTCACTACATACCTTTTTAAAAAATCCACTTTCTTTCTGTTTTTGAATATAAATTCCTTGAATCTTTTAATTTGGATGTTCTTAACAAAGCACATGAGAAGATATCATTAAATAAAATTTGATTTTGGAAATCCTAGAATTATAAATATAAATGGTTCAAATATGATGATAATTTTGTATAAGAAATTAATAAAAAAGGTTAATATTATTAAAGGATTAAAGATGAACTAGGAAAACAAAAATATAAAATTTATTTAAATTACTCGATTAGCATTGTTAATTAATCTAAATTCAATTTGAAGATTCATAAATTTATTAATTACATTTTAAAAACGTTAAAGATATATATAAATAAAGAATCAGAATTACAAAATATTCTTAATATTGTATAATTTTATAAACTAAATATTAACTCATCCATTAATATTTAATTTATCTATTCATTTTTGCCATTTATAAACTGATTTATAATTTATAAATATCTTTAGTAATATCATAATTTTTTTTGTTGTTCAATTTTTCTTCTATTAAAAATAATAACTGATGATCTTATTTCACATTCCATATTATGAATATATGAATTAGGTTCTGAACACATTTACAATTTGAATTTACATAAAGAAAATTAATTAGTTGATAATATTTTAAAAAATGTTAATTATTTATAAAATAGTAAAATTTGAAATATCTAATAGAATTATAAATCTTACTGTTTCTAAAATATTTAACAATAAATTTCATTATTTTTAGGTCACTATTTCAAAGAATTACTTTTATGAGTTTTTAAACACTGCCTTTAATAGTTACTAAGGATATATTATAAATAATCTTGATCGAACATTATCTTAACATCATAGTAAAATAGAGAAATAATTAGATTTTAAGTTTGATATGATATTCTAACCAATAATAAAAGTTTTTTTAAATTAGAAGTTCAATTTATAGTATAAAAGAAGCATCCCAGCCATTTAATAGTATAAATAATCAATAAATAGTTTATTAATATTAGAATTTTTCTGAAAATAGATATATTTATTAGTTGGAGATAATAATTATAAGTTATTAATTAAATATGAATTATAATAATTATCGCACACAATTCGACAATTAGAATGTTATCCATTCAAATTCTTAGTCAGTTGGTAAGTTAAAGAAAGGAATTGTCTTTCAAAATTATCCTTTTAATCCTGTCTAGAGTTATAATTCCAATATGTAAGTGCGTCCATTTACTTCTCAAACTCAGCCTATTAAAAAGCCTTCAACAGCTCAAGTAATTAAATTGAAATAGGAAATAGTCTATTCGACATGTTCCAAGAGCAGCAACTTCATAAACTTAAAGATAACCAAATATGCTATTTTCTGAGTAATTAAATAACACTGAAATGGAGACTAAACAAAGTAAACGATATATGAAAATCTACTTCCTTAAAAGTAATGCACTCTAATAATAAATTTAGCAAATTATCGTACTATTCTTCATAATGTCATGAATAACAAACTTAAAGCTTTACCACCTGGAGATAGAAGAAGACTGTCGGTTCTTAATATTGTGTAAGACAAATTTAAAGAACTTACAATTTAAGAAATCAATTTGCTTATATGTTAACATGCAGTTTCTGAAAAGTTTTACATTTATTTTTCAGGTTCATAATAAATTTATTAAATTTAGATTCTGAATGGATTCCATGTAGTAAATGTTGTTAAACTCCTATATATTTAGTACTCACTCCATAAGCTTAAAAAACTGATATATTTTGTAGTTAATGTTCTCGAAATCTTTCAAATCCTCCAAGATCTGCTGTTTAAAGTAATACTATTTTACCAAAATATTCTTTTACTTAATATGGGCATTCATTACAAGAATAGAAAGAAAGATAAAAAGTGAGTAGGATGATTATATCTGGAAAATATAGAAAAATAAATCTAAAAGATGTTTATAATGAAGTTTAAGAACCAGTTTAACCTGAAGAATCATATAATTTAGAATTTCCTGTAAAAGAAAAATAATAAGAAAGTACAATTTTAGAATTAAAAGACTTAATTAATGAATTATTCTGAAAATAAATAAAATCATTAATATTATTAAATAGTTCCATTTACTAAATCATCAAAATTGTATTATTCATCCTCTTAATGTATTTTATCTTTTTCTAAAAATCTATATTTAATATCTTCAATAACATTTTAAAATTTAGTTTATAATCTAAATTTTAAATAATAAATATATACTTATTTTATTTAATATAAATTTTTGATGCGTTTTGTGACTAAAATATTCTTTCAAGAAGATATACAATCTAATAATCAGATATTAGTATATACTCTTTAAATGTTGTTTGGAATTGTAGAATAAATTTGAATTGCAATTATACTGATAGCCTCTACAAATTAGGATTTATCAAGGAAGATTTAATCTGTATATTCTTATCCTTCTTAATTAAGTGATGCTACAGAATAAAATATTGAAGTCAATTATGTCTAAGATATTAAAATGTTAGATAATTCAAAATCTTAACAAAATTTCAAAAATTCTGATAAATACAATATTGAATTTTATTATTTTGTATATTCTTAAAAATACCAATCAAAGATTGGTTAAATCATCTCATATAATTAAATCTAATATTATTATATAATTATTATACAATTTATTCATCTTATAATAGATCCACTAAAATTTAAAGAATTTATTCTTTATTATCATCAGACATTTATTTTTCTAAAGGTAAAATATTTTATTAAATCAATTCATTTATATCCATTCCACATTTCTCAGCTATAATACCCAAACTAATTTGAAATTATCCAAAAGTCATTTTGCCATTTGTTAATTATTTATTTTTTTATTAAGTTTTGATAGATTAAACACCACATAATTTTGAATAAATCATATCTGAATCAGTTATAGTAATTAAATTATTCAAAATTCCAGAGTGTTATAATAATTTATTAAATTTTGTACTTTTTAAAGATTAAATATTACTAGGTTCTCCATTTTATGCAAAGAACTCAAATAATTTCTTCAATGAAGAAATATAAGATTGATCTATATCTTATAAATATTTTGATTGTTTCATCATAGAAACATTAACTCTACTTTCATCAACTTTCTTATTTGAATTATGAATCTATATGTTAGTGTTACTAAGATTATTTTAAGTATTTTAAATCATTTAACTTTATTGTATAAGATTTTCTTATTTATTATATACTCTACTTTTTTCTATATTATAAAATAATCTCACTTTATCACTCTATGTTCTATTTAATTTTCTTAAATATTAACTAAAACCTTCTGATTATTCTATTTTATCAAGTAATAATCTAAATTAAGTAAACTCATCTAAATTTGGTACTGTTTTTGATATTATTATCAAACTTTCAATAAAATTATTCAAACCAAATAAATAATTTCCATATTCTTATAAATTTAGTATTGGTTACCTTATTTATATATTATCAAAAATTAATTGAGCTTAAGATTAATTAATATAATTAGGTAATATTTCACATTAAGTTAAAAATTACATAAACTACCATTAAACTTTACTTATATTTGTACTTTAATCTTCAAAAACAAATTTATGTAAATTTGATAATTATTATTAAATTGGTTCTACAAACTCTATAATTTAATTGCTAATTGGTTATAATAAAAATTAAATTTATTGTCCAAACTCTGTAAACTATAATATTTTCTAAGATAATTATGATAGATTTTCATTGTATAATTTCTGAAATGCTTACTGAACATTAAGTTAAGGATATATAATCTTTGCTAATTTTGGTATAAAGTTCTAAAATTTTTCAAGTGTGAGACTTTCATTATTTTTAGTTTATTAGGCATATAAAATATCACAATCTCTATTTGATAATATGTTTGGCATTATTTGAGCATCAGCTAACATTTTAATAAATTTATTAGATTTCAATAACCTAGTATTGTTTCTAGTTCCAAAACTTGCATAAAATTTGAAAATTATTCTAATGTTTAATCTTATATCTTCAATTCCTATAACTTTCTTTTGAGGTGATGCATTTTTGCTTTACTACACTGTTGATTGATGAGTATTACCAAGAGTTTCATTTTGTTATTCTGTTATTACAGGCATTCCAACATTCACTTTAATTTTAGAATAAGAGAGTTATGTGCCTAAATTTAATGGTTGATTATCTCTTTATAAATATCGATTAAAAGAATCCAATTCATTTTCATCAATATTTTATGTTTTCTTTTAACGATCCATTATCATTTTGCTTATCATAATCGTTAATAAAAATAAATAATACCAAATTTAATCAAAACTGTTATTCTATACAAATTAATATAAATTTACATCATTTCACTTGATATATCAATTTAGATTTCTTTATAAGATAATTCTTTTTGATTATGATAAATATAATAGATTAAGTTAATATAATAAGATGAAATGATTAAATTAAATGCAATTATATTATCTAATATAGATAAATTTTAAATGTATGATTAATCACTTTTTGATTTATTTTACTATCTTAACCTCTTCAACAAGGAATGCTCTAATGATGCGATTTTTTAATGCTCCAGCACTAAGGACACCTCCATATGGTCTAGAAACTGTTCTTTATCTTCTTGAAAGTTATTTGAGTTTTGTTGGTCTAATTCTTTTAAGTCCATTCAAAACAATACTCAAATTAGAATCTGCACATGTTGATGCACTTGTCTTTTTATTAGGATATTAAGTCACAACTCTACCACCTAGAGTAGATGGATTTAAATACCTGGAGTCTTGACCTTTCTGATCTTATTTGATCTTGTGTTATAGCTGGTTCTTCTACGATAAGTGACTCTTACACCCATATATTAAAATCTTAATTAAAAATTTTTTTAATATTTATGGAACAAATTACAGAAGAACAAAAACAAGCAATATCTAAAAAGAACATCTTCATTTTTGAACTCTTAGGGACATTCTTTTTAGTATATATAAGTGTATGCAGTCAGTAATACAATAAAATACAATTAGAAATGAAGCATATTAAGTTGCATTGGGATTATTTGGATGTATGCTTGTATTTGGTAGATTAAGTGGAGGTCATTTCAATCCAGCAATAACATTAGCTATGGCTTTAGGTGGAGGTATACCATATGGCACAATGTTTTTCTACTTCTTACCTCAATTTTTAGGAGCATTTGGTGGAGCTGCATTATCATTTTTATTATTGAATATGGACAAGGCTCCTTATATAGAAGAGTAAGAAATTAAAATAAATTAGTGAACCTATTAAAGAATTAGCTGCCTCATTATTTGGAGAAATGATTGGATCCACAATCTTTTTGATATTTGCATTAATTTGCTTTGTTAAAGAGACTTCATTATCTTAAAATAGAATAGCTACATTAGTCATCCTATCATGTATATATTATGCTTGCAGAGAGTAATATTGTCAAATATTTTAATAGATACACAATTACATCTAGTAATAGTTTACTTAATCCAGCTGCTGCCCTAAGTCTGACTGTCTTTGATTGTTTAGCCAAGAATTGGGATTAGATGATTAATATGTGGATTTATGTGGGAGGTCCAATTGGAGCTGCAATTTTGGCAACAATGTTTTATTCACAATTATACCACTCAATTACACATAGAAAATGAATTTTATATAATATTATTCATGAACTAAGATGATTTCGAGGTATTATATATCGATGTAGAGATTATTAAAGATCTCAGTTGAAGTCAGTGATCCAAAGGTTTAATCGGGACTAAACAAGTACACAACTTATTCAGTCCGAGGAATGGATAAGAATGGATAATTTGATGTAATACGTAGGTTTAGTGATTTTCGACTTATTCGTTAATTCCTTATAACAAAGTGGCCTGGTTGTTATATTCCACCACTTCCACCAAGAAAGGCAATTGTATAATTAAATATTCTACAATATTTAGGGAAACATGGATTAGAAGTTCATAGATGATAGAATGAATTCATTATAAGAATGGATGAGGATTATGGCTCAAACTAAATACTTCTGGTATTCTGAAGAATTTTAGTTATTTATTAAGTCTAATGGTGATATTGAAAAAGTAAATAAAACACTTATAAATAGGCTTTGTCATAAGTACCAAAATTGACTTACGATGAAATAATAAACAAATATTAGGATACTTTTACTGATCTTTCAGGAGTAATTATTTTTTTACTTAATGAATTTAGAGAGAAATCAATAGAGAATTAATTCAAAAAATAACAGATTTTCATTAATTTCTAAAAAGAGTGAATCCAATGGTTGAAAATTTTAAATAAATTGCTAAGTATAATAATATTAAATATGATAGAAATATAGCTCAAGCAAAATAGAATTTTTAAGAATAAATGGCTAATTTCTTATAAAATTAATTGGGTGCTTATGAATAACAAGTTTTATTAGAGTTTAGTGAGAGTTAAGATAAATTAGTAATATAGAACATAAAAAATGATGAGTATCCATCTTAATTGCTAAATAATTACATAAATTTATTACAATAGAATGAATTTTAATCATTATATTAAGAAATTAAGAAGGAATCAAAATAAGTGAGGGCATTTTTAGAGACTATGATATAAAGAGAGAAATATGAATAATAGAAGGTGGTTTATGAATAGAAATAAAAGGAACTTTAAATTTAATTGTAAGAAGTGTTGGCAGGAAAATCATCAATAAAGAACATATTTAGTACAACAAAGAAGGAAGATTAAATAGCAAAGTTATAAGTTTAGATTGATTAGGTGTGTAAGGATATTGAAAATATGTAATTTATATGTGATATACTTACTGTATTATTGGGATATATAGAGATTGATAAATTCAAGGTATAAATTAGGTTGAATGGTAGTTGGAGAAGTAGTAGAATTATTATAGATTGGCAAAGAGCTTAATTCAATATGAAATCCAATTAAACCAAGCATCAGAAGAGTTTTGGGAAAGAGTTTAATAAAATTATAATTTATTATGATAAATAAATATTAAAATAATATTATTTATTTAATCATTTTTTTGGTAGATAATATGTATTAGGTACATAATATAATGGCTTATTTAATTAATTAAGATTTTTTACTTTAAATTTACAGTTATTTTATATCTTATTTCTGTAATTTTTGAATAATTTTATTTTATTCTTCTTCATTTAATGTCTGAATATATTAAGGTAGATATCCCTGACCTGAAGATTGATAATCCAATAAACTTGGTGATATCTTTTTCATTAAATAAATTTATTATACCAATAAGTTATTTAGAATTAATTAATAATTAAAAATATATTTCAAATATAAATTCATAAAAAATAAGGTAGCACTTTTTAATTAATGATGTCTGAAGTTGAATCTTAAGATTCATCAAATACTAAGAAGGTCTGTTCTAAATTTATATCTAAATTCATTATGCATGCTTTATTTCCACATCTATAACAATAATTAGGAGCTGACCATACAGTCACTAATTATTTCTAATTTTTAATCTCTATTTTACATTAAATTCATATCTATATCCATCCATTATCAATTAATGTGATCTTGTAATCAAAATTAATCCATTAATATGATTAAATTATTCTACTACTTTTTTTCCAAAACATTATCCTCCTCCTCGATGATTAGCTATCCATCCATCTAAATCTTATTCAGGATCTGACCATAATATATCAGCCATAGAACCTTCATAATCATTCGCATTTCTTCGATCTATTCAAAATATAATTATATCAAACCAATTGGTCGTATCTAATCTATTGATTTTATTTATGGAGACAAACCTCCATGTACACAAAAAACCTTTTGATCAACTAATGCACATAAAGGTAAATAATCAAATACTTCACAAAAGTATTACCAAGGGTGAATGTTCCCATATTTTCTATGCACTTCATCATATAACCCATAAACTTAAGTTTAAGATCTTGATTCATGATTTCCTCTCAATAAAGTAATATTTTTTGGATATTTAATTTTTAAACAAAGCAAGTATTAAAAGGTTTCAACAGAATGATGCCTATATAAATCAAATGAATTTAAATTACCCTCGATTAACATAATCTCCACTAAATAAATAATTCTTATCTGGAATTTAACCTCCTATCTTAAATAGTTCTAATAAATCAAAATATTATCCATGAATATCTCCACATATTATTACTGGAGTATTTACATAAACTATATTTGCCTCTTCTACTAAAATTTCTTTAACTAATTCACAAATTATATGTGTATCTCGTTCAGTTAAGCATCTTACATTTCTTAAAATCTCTAAATATTTGTCTATATCCATTTTAATATCAATATAATTTCTCTTGTGTTTATCAAATTTTAGTTATTATTTATCATTTATAATTACAATAAATAAAAAGAATGATCAACAAGAATTTTATTGTTGATTACTTATTAGTTATATATATATATATTGAATGACAATATAAAAATTATTAAAATAAATATGCTCATAGGTTACTAATAAGTTTATATTATTTGGATATCAATTACAATCTCTTAAGCTTTTCTTCAATAGATGAGTCTTATTCTCTATTTGTCAATACATTCAAATGACTCATATTCTTAGGGATTATTGTACAAAGATAACAACTATCCATTGATGAACCTGTTTCATTTGAAACTTCAGTAATTGGAGTTAATTAGTTTAATTCTGTAATACAATGTTGTGTAGTCTTGCAATATTTTAGCATAATTGAATTTAACAACTTAATCAAATATTAATGTTTTGGTTCTTCATTAAATAAATTTATTTATTGAAAGAAAAATCTAAATTCATATGGAAGTTCTTATAATATTTCATTTGATTTTAAACATTCTATTTTCTTTTAACCCATCAACTATTCAGGCAATTATTCCCATGGTAAAGTTCCTTTAAATATTATAAAATCATACCTTTTCTCAATTTTATTAGAAGATATCCCAAACTTTCTAAATCATCCTTCTTAGATGATACACGATTATTTTGAATATAGTATGGCAAAGACTTTTTATTCTAAAATCTTTTTGGTTTTTCATATTTTAAATAAGCTTAACCAAATCCAATTAAATGTAATTAAGAATCATGATCTACTCCTTCTTTTGAAAAAACAATATTTTCAGGACAAATGTTACCATATATAATTTCTTATCTATGAATTCCACTTAAAATTCTAAGTATAGATAATCCTATTGATAATACTGATTATAGGGTTAAAGTTCCATATTTATTTAGAATATCAGCAACTGATTTACCATAATAATCAATAGAATAGTAAAACCTGTATTAATGATTTTTTATACTTTTCATTTGCAACGTAACCATAGTTCAGTATTTTTGGTACTCCTTAAACAAATTTCAATTAGTCAAGTATAATATATTAATTGTAGAGGTACTTTTTATTACCAACCTAAACTTTTAAAACTATTATCTTGAATTTATCTTTCAGATTAGAGATGTAAACTTTTTGGTTTTCGTTTTCATAAATTTCTTTAATTATGTTAAACATCTAAAATGTATCAACATTAGAAATCATTATTTTAAATAGAGAAGTTTCTAAATAATTTATTAATATATATATGATTCATCCAATCTATCTAATTTACAATCATTTATTAATTAGAATAATCAATTAGAGATTCTTATTCGTTTAGAATATGGGACAAAGAGATCAGTATAAATTTTTTAAAGTAAATAATANTATATATATATATTGAATGACAATATAAAAATTATTAAAATAAATATGCTCATAGGTTACTAATAAGTTTATATTATTTGGATATCAATTACAATCTCTTAAGCTTTTCTTCAATAGATGAGTCTTATTCTCTATTTGTCAATACATTCAAATGACTCATATTCTTAGGGATTATTGTACAAAGATAACAACTATCCATTGATGAACCTGTTTCATTTGAAACTTCAGTAATTGGAGTTAATTAGTTTAATTCTGTAATACAATGTTGTGTAGTCTTGCAATATTTTAGCATAATTGAATTTAACAACTTAATCAAATATTAATGTTTTGGTTCTTCATTAAATAAATTTATTTATTGAAAGAAAAATCTAAATTCATATGGAAGTTCTTATAATATTTCATTTGATTTTAAACATTCTATTTTCTTTTAACCCATCAACTATTCAGGCAATTATTCCCATGGTAAAGTTCCTTTAAATATTATAAAATCATACCTTTTCTCAATTTTATTAGAAGATATCCCAAACTTTCTAAATCATCCTTCTTAGATGATACACGATTATTTTGAATATAGTATGGCAAAGACTTTTTATTCTAAAATCTTTTTGGTTTTTCATATTTTAAATAAGCTTAACCAAATCCAATTAAATGTAATTAAGAATCATGATCTACTCCTTCTTTTGAAAAAACAATATTTTCAGGACAAATGTTACCATATATAATTTCTTATCTATGAATTCCACTTAAAATTCTAAGTATAGATAATCCTATTGATAATACTGATTATAGGGTTAAAGTTCCATATTTATTTAGAATATCAGCAACTGATTTACCATAATAATCAATAGAATAGTAAAACCTGTATTAATGATTTTTTATACTTTTCATTTGCAACGTAACCATAGTTCAGTATTTTTGGTACTCCTTAAACAAATTTCAATTAGTCAAGTATAATATATTAATTGTAGAGGTACTTTTTATTACCAACCTAAACTTTTAAAACTATTATCTTGAATTTATCTTTCAGATTAGAGATGTAAACTTTTTGGTTTTCGTTTTCATAAATTTCTTTAATTATGTTAAACATCTAAAATGTATCAACATTAGAAATCATTATTTTAAATAGAGAAGTTTCTAAATAATTTATTAATATATATATGATTCATCCAATCTATCTAATTTACAATCATTTATTAATTAGAATAATCAATTAGAGATTCTTATTCGTTTAGAATATGGGACAAAGAGATCAGTATAAATTTTTTAAAGTAAATAATATTGGAATACTAATTAAAGGTTTTTATAATATTTAATTAGAGAGATAAATAAAATTCTTAATTTATTCTTTATAATAATTAAATAAAACACAATGAATAATTAACTTAAGAATGAAAATATTATAAGATTAAAAATAATGAACCATACATATAGTAAACAATAGAATTTTAAAGAATAAATCATAGATTCTAAGATTGAATGATAATTTTATTAAATATTTTACATTGGGATCAATGTATATATTTTTCAGTATTTATCAGGAGAAGTTCAGAAATTTAATAATTAATTAATTAAAATTTACTAAACAATGTCTGACGAGAAATTAGATTGCATTAAGGTTTCTTAATAAGTTGCAGATAAACTTAAATAATAAGCATTAGATTTCAAAAAAAATATGGACTCTTTTCAAAAGAGATTTTAATCAGATCAAAACAATGAATATTATATTATGTGCTTGAAGTATTTAAATATATTATTCAGGTGGCTAAATAAATGGAAAGAATATGTTTCATATGAAGAATTACTGGCTAACAAGAATCCGAGCAAATACTTTGGAAAACTAAATATGGAGCATATAAACATAAATTTAGAGGATAAAGTTCAAAAATGCTTCAAATATTTTCCAGTAAAAGATCATCCATGGAATACATTTATGAAAGAGAATCTCTAAGAAAATATTGATTATATTATAGTTGATAAGGAGATTTGGCAATTCTTTACAACATATTATCATCATACACCAATTATAAGATGGTCTAATGGATAAGGGACAGAGAAAACAGTAGCAGTCAATTTATTAAAAGTATTTATAGAATATTATTATTCGAGTTTAAAAGTACTTTGCTTTATCCAACAGTAATAAAGTAGATTGCAATGGATACTTTTTAGAAATAATCTTTTGATCATGAATATTTATAAGTTGATAGAAGTATGAAATTAAAAGACTACTATAATTTACTTCAAAAGACTATTACAACATTCACTGGGAATTTTGCAAAAGATAACAATATCAGAATTTGGAGATATTAATCAGATTAGAAAGATGTATTTAAAGCATTCTTTACAGATATTCAAAAATAAGTTGGAGTATTAGAGAATAATGATGAAATGAGTTTTGATTTTTAGGGTGATTATGTTCATTATTCAATATACGAAACTATTGAAGATGTAGGAATTTTAGATAATCATTTGATTATTATAGAAGTAAAAGAAATGTTATTTAAATAGTTTAAAGATGAATATAAGCCTTGGTGTATTCGTAATAAAGCCGTATAAATAGAAGGAAAGTGTGAGAATTGTTAAGTTGTTAAAGTGCTTAATCATCCATGTGTATGTAGGAAAGTAACCTATTGTTCATAAGAATGTAAATCTAAAGATTACAACTTCCACAGTATGAGATGTGAGAAATTTGGATCTGATGATGATACTATAAGAAGTTTAAGTTAACAACCTAATTCTGTTGCAGGATTAGCTGGTTTGAGTAATTTAGGAAATACTTGTTTTATGAATAGTGGTACTTAATGTATATCAAATACGATGCCATTAACAGAGTATTTTTTGAGTAATCAATATTTTGATGAAATAAATATGGATAATCCTATAGGAACTAAAGGTTAATTAGTAAAAAGAGTAGGATCTCTATTAAAAAAGTTATGGTATGGAGAGAAATCAGTTGTAACACCAACTAATTATAAAAAAGCTGTTGGTTAATTTTAACCAATGTTTAAAGGTTATCATTAACATGATTCATCTGAATTAATTACTTTTGTTTTAGATGGAATTCATGAAGATTTGAATAGAGTTAAAAAGAAACCATATGTTGAAACTAAAGATAGTGATGGAAGAACAGATTTTGTTGTAGCAAAAGAAAGTTGGATAAATCATTTAGCTAGAAATTAATCTATTATTGTTGATTTGATGTATGGATAATACAAATCAACATTAAAATGTCCAAAATGTGAAAGATTGTCTATCACATTTGATCCATACTTAATGGTATAATTAGGAATACCAAGTTAAAAGAAAAGGACTATATCTTTTAAATTTTTTGATTCATTCTTTAATTCAACTTCTAAAATTATTCCATTTGATAAAAATAAGAATATATCATTAAAAGAATATTATCAAGTATTGGGCTAGGAATTAAATGTTAAACCATAAAACTTATTTGCTTATATTGCTAATTAATATACATCATATGAATTATTAAAGGAAAATCAATCTATTATTGCTATAAGAAAAAGTGCTAAAAGATCATAATTATGCTTTAGGGTATTATCAGATGGAGAAGCTTAAATACAAAATAAATTTTTTGTTTAATTTTCTAATAAATATTAAGAATTTTAAAAAATGTAATATTTTTAGAATGGATTCTTTATTTTTGATGGATCAATAACAAGAAAATAACTTCATTTAAATATATTCTAATACTTAAATTAATTTTTCAAAGATTACTAAAACTTGGTTTATGAAAAAGATATATTAAATAAAGTATTTTTTTTATTTATTATTAGTATTACAATCTTTTATATAAATCAAATAGTAATTTTTGGAATCCATGTTCTTATTGTTAATCTAAAAATTGTAATGATTGTGAAGTGAAATTCGATGATGAAACTCTTGAGGAAACAAAAAATAAAGTTGCTACATCTGATTCATAAAGCAATTTTGAAATAATTATTTTATGGAAAGATAGTCCATTTAAATCTGTAAAACTTAGTGATATTTTTAATCACTATCATAAACTTAATAAAATTGAAAGTAATTTAAAATTTAAATTATTTTAGTTGAAGAATCAGCATAATCAAGATCTCCATTTTAGAATCATGGTCATTCAAATTAGCATTCTGGCAGCGTAACTTTAGCTGATTGTTTGTAATTCTCTCAATAACCAGAATAATTGAATTCAGAGAATACATGGTATTGTAAAGTTTGTCAAGAACATGTATAAGCTTTTAAAAGTATGTAAATCTATAAGGTTAATTAAATATTTTATATAATTATAGGCTCCACAAATATTAATATTCACTTTAAAACGATTTAAAGCTTCCAATAGAATGTTTAAAGCAAAGCTTGAAACTTTTGTTGATTTTCCAATTAATGGACTTGATATGACTGATTATCTAATAAATTCTAAAACACCTCAAGAATATGAAAATGAAACTGAAGATGATAATGGAGAAAATAATAAATAAAGAGTTCTTTATGATTTATATGCTGTATCAAATCATTATGGTGGTCTTGGAGGAGGTCATTATACAGCTTTTGCAAAAAATAAAGTATTTATTTTATATATACAATAGTTTACAAAAAAATGGTATAATTTTGATGATTCTCATGTTTCAGAAGCAAGTGAATCCTAGGTAATTACAAAAGCAGCCTATGTTCTTTGTTATTAATTGAGAACAGATGAATCTATGAATATGCAAGGACAGCAAACTTAAACCATATAATAAATAAATGAGTAGTATAATAAATGATAAATTATTAAAGGCTTAACACTATTTTATTCATTCATTTTTCTATATATTTTAAATTATCATTTTTATATTACATTTTTATTAGAAAAATTAATTAAAAATAAAATGATTATTGAAAATGAAGATAGTGATTTGGAAATTATTTCAAAGTATTTTAAAAATGAAGCAGACGAATTTGAAGTTTATGAGGTAATTTAAGATTATAATTTATAGGCAACAAGATTTCTTAGCTATCATCATAGACAAGATGAAATATTAGAATTAATATCAGATCATTATTCATAATATAAAGAAAAGATAGACACATTAATGAAGTAAAATATATTTAATATTTCAAGTATAGAGGAAGATTCTATTCTATTTGATATGACAATTGATTTATGGAATAAATTTAAATAAAAATCATTATGTATTAAAGATGTTTTAAAATATTTGGACATAAAGACTCCTGTATAAAATTATATCACAAATATCCTATTAAAACTAATTAAGGTGGAAGTTGAGAATAGATTATAGATAGTTACTCTATTAGAAATAAAAAGATATAGATAAGTCATTGTTACATTATAAAATTAATAAGCAATTGAAGATCCTCCCTTGTAGCTTTTAGATTTGTTAATGTTATTGCCAAATTATTAATAATTTGAAAGAAGATTTTATGAATAGACTTAAATTTATTATAAAGAATTCATTTTAGATACTAATCCATCATAATCTGTTTAGATTGCAAATATAATTTTTTAAGCTGAAAAAAAACTCTCCAGTAAATTCTTAAATGAATTTTAATTAAGACTTAATGAATTATTAAAACAATTAATATTCAATCAAGTTAATATGAATGATTTAGATTCATTGTACTTCAATACTGAGATTATGCTTCATTATGTAAAATTTGCATAAGAAATAAATGCACTTCCTAAATTACTATCAGCACTGTATTCTTTATTATGATTTATAGTCGAAAACATATTTATAAAGAAGTAATATTTATTTTACAACAACAACCAACATCAGCTATTGAAAATATGTTAAATTTAGAAAAGACTTGTCAAACACTTTTTGAATAATTACCAATGGAACATACTAATGCAACTATTATAACTCATGCTATTGAAGTAATTTATTATTATTAAAATTAAGGATGCAGTAAATGAAAATTATGAAAAATATTCTTTCACTCTTGCATCTGTAATCAATCTTTAGAATTAACATTCCATAAAGAAATATAAACATTTAATAAAATATTTAACAGATAAAGAGAGTTTTCAAAATTATTATGTTAAATTTCTTATCAAAAGACTTTTAAAAGAATATAATTAAAATGAATTAGAATTATTGAATGAATTACAACCTTATTGTAATTCTGAATGGATTTCTGAATGTTTAGAATTTATTAAAAATTCAAAAGAGTCTTAGAATCTCACTAATTAATTTTTACAAAAGCTTCGTTAAAAAAAGAGTCCAATCTAATTTCATTTTCATTTGATTCCCAAATCAATTTGGCCATATCAAATTGAGAATTTAATATTACCATCACCATTAAATTAATTTGCAGAAAACTTTATTAAGAATTAATCTGAGGATCTATTATTTTAAAAAAAGAAAATAATATTTCAATCTAGACTAAGCAAACTTAATTTATTAGTCAAAATTGATCATTAATTTGAATTAGAATTACCATTGGCTTAAGGATTGGAATTGCTTAGATTTAATGCTCAAAAAAGCATTAATCAAATAAGCAACTATAAATAATATAATGGACTTATTGTTAGATCTGAAAATAACACTTTTAAAATAAATTATCAATATAAAAATACAAATTAAGTAATGATAATAAATGAAGAAATTTAAATTGAGATGGAAAAGAATCAATAAATTATTTCAGATTATTTATATGTTGTAGATGCTGCTATTGTTAAAATAGTTAAATAGAATAAAAAGATCAATTCAGAAAACTTGATTTAAGCTACTTTCGATTTAATAAAAAAAGAATATCCAAGATTTATTGATTTATGTGAATATGATATAATAGAAAAATAAATTGTTAGTTTATTAGAGAAAGAGATGATTAAATAAAAATTTGATGATTTTGAATTATTATGATAAAATTATTATTAATAAATAATGACTTCTAAAAATATAATGTGAATCAATAAATATTTACATATTTAAATATAGTTATTATAATTTAATTATATATTTTAGTAATGTAAGATATCTAATAGGAAAAGATAATGTCAAATAATTATAATGTAGAAACTGTAGTTGAATAAAATTACTTAAAAATATATCTAAATGAAGAATCCTATTAATAACTTACAATTGAGTATTTATTAGATTGTCTCAATATTTCAGTCAATAGGTATTTAAAAATTCTTATTTAAGAGTAGTCATCATTATTAAGTATTAAGTTTTCTTTTAATTTATTTAATAAAATTTGATATTGGAAATGATTAGAAAGGCTCCTAAATTACATTCAATTTTTATTATAGGAGATCAATAAATCGATGAATTGAAAGATAAAAATATATTTAGAGTGGATTCTATAAATGAAATAGATAATATCTTAAAAAGTTTAGAGAAGAAAAACAGTTTTGAAAGTGAAAAATTTAACAAATATGGTGTACCAATAATTTTATAAGAATTATTAAAATATTTCAAAAATAATATGAACCATGAAGGATTATTTAGAAAATGTGCAGTAAATAGTGAAATTTAAGAATTAATGGAAGAAATAAGAAATTATGATTTCAAAAGAGTTCAATCTGCAAATCCACATTTAGTTGCATGTGCTATAAAATAATATTTAAATTAATAACAAATTCCTTTAATAAATACAGAATTAATATTTTCAAATGAAATTAATGTTATTGGTGTAATTAATGATCTATCAGAGATAAATGCTAGAGTATTATTTATGGTTATATCATTTTTTCAAGAAGTAGCTAAGTGTGAAGAGTAAAACAAAATGAATACAAAAACATTAGGAATGTTAATTGCACCTTCATTAATTAAATTATCTAATTAATGTGATAATCCTTTAGAAAAAATTAATAAAACAATTATGTTTTTATAGAAATTTTTAGAAAGTTTTCACAAATTTGTTCCAAATTTTCATTATGAAGAACTTTTAGAATATGAAGAAATAGATAATGGAAATGAAGTAGCAGATATAGATTTGAGGGAAGAATGGGGAAGAATTAATAATGTAAAATAACATATAATATGAATGAAAATTATTAAGAGTAATTTTAATTATATTATTTCATGCCACCTAAAACTAGAAGAAATGAGATTAGTTCATATCAGCTCAAAGTAATTGATAATACATAAAACTAATAGGAAGAAGGGAACAAGGCTTTTCTGAATAGTGAATATGATAAAGCACTTGCTTTATATACAAAAGCCATTTGTAAGAATTGTCTTTATAGTTTTTAGAGATTGAAGAAAATCCCATCTACTTTAATAATCGTTCCTAAGCATATTTTTATATGGATGATTTAGAATTAGCCCTCTAAGACTGTAATAGAGCTTTATTGTTAAATCCAAATTATATCAAGGCCTTATTAAATAAAGCCTAAATTCTTTATGAGATGGGTTACATTCAAGTATCTATTTGATCTTAACTAGGATGCTATTTAATGTTTAGAATCTTCAGGCAATCGTACATCAGAAATTGAGAAATAATTGAATTATTATAAAACATTAGCTCTCTAAGTAAAATTGATATTTTAATAAGTCTTCGATTGATTCAGGAGAGCTCGATAATTAAAAGAGACTTTTAGAATGGCTTAAGAATGGATAGGCACTTTTCCCTAAAATAAAGATAGAATGTTATGCTGAAGATTATAGAGGAGTAAATGCAAGGAAAGCTATAAGTTCAAAAGAAGTTATCCTTTTCGTTCCTAGATCTCATATGATAACTTTAGAAATGGCAAAAGAAACACCAGTAGCTAAAAAAATAATTCAATATAGACTTGATTTATTATCACCAAAACACTCATTTCTCTCTACTTTTTTATTATAAGAAAAGAAAAAATAGGATTCATTTTGGAAACCATATTTGGATGTTCTTCCAAAATCATATTCTAATTTTCCAATCTTTTTTAATGATAATGATTTGGATTGGTTAAAAGGATCTCCTTTTTTAAGTATTATACGTTTTTATTAATATTTATAGAATAAATCAAAGATAAAATTACAGATTTAAAAAAAGATTATTATGACATTTGTTAAGTAGCTCCAGAATTTCTTTAAAATTCATTTGATGAATTTTGTTGGGCTAGGATGACTGCAAGTAGCAGAATATTTGGTATTAATATTAAAGGAGTTAAAACTGATGCTTTTGTTCCTCTTGCAGATATGCTTAATCATAAGCGTCCTAAATTAACATCTTGGTGTTATTCTGATGAAAGATAAGGATTTATCATAGAAACAGATGAAAACATTGAAAAAGGTTAAATGATCTTTGATAGCTATGGCAGTAAATGTAATTCAAGATTTTTACTCAATTATGGTTTTGTTGTTGATGATAACAATGCAAATGAAGTAAATGTGAATGTTGAACCAGATGGACCTATTCCATTGATTTAATTAAAAGAAGGTCTAATAAGAGATACATTATAATTTCCAAAATCTTTTAGATTAGTTATTGATCCAGATGGTATTTTATAATTTAATATTATTTTAGATGTAAACTTTTCTGATTTCATGAGTTTCATTAGATTCATTCTTATTTAAGATGAAAATGAATTCACAAATCTATAAGGAAAAAATTCTTATATAAAACCTACTAAAATTCCCTTTATTGGAATAAAAAATGAATTAGCTATGTGGAATTACATTGAAAATATATGTATCCATGCTCTTAATCAATATCCAACAAATTTAGATGTAAGATTTTTATTTTATTTTTAAGTAAGACTTAGAAATACTAAAGATATGTGAATTGACAATTAATCAAAGGAATTGTCTAATATTACGAATTGGTGAAAAAAAAATACTTAACTTTTATAAATAATTCAGTGAAAAAATGAAAAAGTTATTTTCAAATTTTGATTTTTTTGTAAGCTATTTTATGTTTATAAATAGGAATTAAAAAAATTCCAATAAATTCAAGAAAATTACCATTACTTCAATTATTTAAACAGGATTAATAATTATCTAAAAATTCAAAACTGAAAAATTATAATTATAAATAAATTTCAATTTATTATAATAAATGAAAAAACAATTATATATATATATATATACTAAAAAATAAATTAATATTTATTAGATAATTTATAATCATAAATATTATTTCATAAAATTCTCTATAACAACTCTTAATTCATTTAAATTTTAATCAATTGTTTTTGGAAATCCTATGGCAGTTCCATTCAATATCAATACATTTTAATTTGGAAATGATGTATAAAGTGCTGGAATCTAATTTAAACTAGATATTGTATATATTTTTAAACTAAATATATTTTATAATAAATACTTTGTTTTTATATCTTTCAAAATAGTTAATAAGGCTTCTGTCATAGCATCATTCTAATAATATAAAATTATTTGCTTATTATTATTTTGATTACTATTAAGGAAATTGAAATAATCTAAATTAATTTCCTAAATCTTATCAAGATCTTAAGATAAGTAATCAATATTATTTATTCTTTCTTAAGAAGGTTATTAAAGTAAATTATTTAATTGTTAATCAATTACTTCAAATCTCTCTACAAATTATGTATCTTTTAAAAAATATTTTTCATAGAGTTTAGCTGTTTATGGAAATAATTATCTTGAATAAGATATAGAATTAAAAATATTAAAGAGAACGAACTTGCTTTAAAATTTGTTAAGATGAGGCAATAATTCTTCTAATTAATTTGTTGCTGATATAACAAATTCTAATTTATCCTTATATTTATCATAAAGTTTAAAAAATAAAGATATTCTTATATGGTTCTAATAATTATAATAATAAATTAATATACATCTAATCTATTTTAATGTTTAGGATCTAATTGTAGACTAACAACTAATTTATCATTTTGATTTTTATGATTTTGAATTTTTCTAATAAATGCAGCTATACTACTTTTTCTACTATTCTTCAAATAAAAAACTCTAGGTAAACTAAATTATTAAAGTTCAAATGTAAATTGATTTTTTAATTGTTTTTTATCAAGATCTATATTTGATTGAAGTTTATTATTTTATTATTTCCATTCATTAAAAGAATCAAATTTCAAATTATTAATTTCTTTATAATTTATGAATTGGGGTATAATTTAATTTTTTTCATTGATTATGCAATTTTAATATTTTTATAAGATGTCATTTCTGAATAATAGAATATCATCATCTTTTAAGTTTAATTATTAACATAATTCTTTATTTTCTATAATTAGAAATTTAGAGTTTTAATTAATAGTTTTTTTTTCTAAAAACTAAAAGGATATTTTCTTAAATTATTTCATTTTAGTATCATTGCTATTAGATTTAATAAAAACAGGAGAGTCTAATTAATAATAACTTTCTAAAATAATAGATTCGAACTATTCCTTTGTTGTAACAGTTTAGTACAAATCAAAAAATCTCGATACTCGTGTTCTATTGTGATTAATAGGTATTACAAAATTTTTTCTAAATTATTTTCTTAATAAAAGTTGTGTTTTTTAAAAGGAAAGTAAACATAATCATCTGAATGAGGAGTTTTAAAAAATATTTCAATTTTCTAAAAATCATCTTCCTCATATATCTTTATATTTTTAACACTATTGACTAATTTAGTGATAGATTTTAAAGATGGTCTAGAAACAGTGTAAATATGACCTAAAATGATATAAAATATAATACAATTAATTTATAGTTTATCTGATATTTATTACAATTTTTTAGCAACTTCAATGGCTTCTCTTTCACCATATCCTCCATCAATTTCATCTTTATAGATAACCAAAAAGAAATAATCTTATCTATTTCCAAGAACATTTTAAACAAAGATTTATTAATTCATTTATCGTACTTTGATAGTGATATAGAATATGATTTACTTTCATTAGAACAATGAATAGGTTAATTTCTATATTAATGATAGATTAAATAAGGTAAGGCTAAACAACTGATTCTGGTAAACAATTTAGGTAATGTAAAATTCTTGAGGACTCTAAGTCGATTCATATAAATATTTAATAATTAAATAAAATGCAGAATTATGCACTTTTGGGAATCACTCTTGTTTTAGTGGTTGTATATATGTTAATGACTACTATTGAAAAGACTTCATCATATTTTGGAAAAAGATCATCACTTAATTAAATTGAAGACAAATATGAGTCATTAAGAAAATAAAGAAGAGAAATGCTTGTAAGTTTATAATTTGATTATAGTAACATTATTACTGGGCTTAATCTAATAATGAAAGAGATAAGGAGAAGAAACTTGAAACTTAAATCTTTAAGATTGATGATGAATTAGAAGAGTTGAGAAATGACTTTGAATCACTTAAAGCTGGTAAGAAAGTTCCTTTGAAGAAAATATGATTTAAATACATTCATAAATCAGACATCATCTCAAAGTTTTTTATATTATTCAAAAAGTCTAATTATCTATTTATTTCAATTAATATATATATACTTTAGTTTTATTGTAATGTCTGGCCATATCTATTGGAGTAATATTTTATTAATCCATTATATAAGGATCAGCTCCATTTTAAAGTAACCTAATAATAAATATTTAATATTACCATTCCACAAAATCTTAATTTCCTTTTAAAACTGCAATATGAAGTGGAGTAATTCCATCATAATTTTAGGAATTAACATCATTTGCAGAATAAACAAAATGTGATTATTTCATCATCATTATTCTATTCTTTTAAACTGCTTCAAATAATAAATCTACTTTAATTTTATTTTATTATAAAGGTAATCTTAAACTTTAAAAAGTTTTAGGAGTTGGTGTTGATATTCCAGTACTTAGATTAAAACTTTTCTTTTCACTATTCTTTCTACTATTTTCATCAGTTCTAATATTACCAAAGTTTATTTAATCTTTAGCAATTGCTTTACATCTTTCTAATTATTTATTAAGATAGAAAAATGAAACTTATTAATCTTATCCCATTTCTATTTGATGAACCATATTTTCACAATTATCTTTAAATAAATAATATATTTATTTTCTTCTCTCTTCAAGTTTTTGTCTTAGTTTCTTTTCTCTAAATAAAGATCTCAATTTTCTTTAAATTACTATTGCAGCCCTTATTTCTTTTTAAGTAGGTTAATAATTAGGACTCTTCCAATGTTCTAATTCTGGTTAAGTAGGAGGACCTCCTGAATAAAACTTTTTAAAATTCTTCCTTTATCTTAATGCAGGATGACTTTTTAATCCAAGTTTGAATTTCTCCTGTTCATATTTATTATATTAAGCAGATATAGGATTTATATAAGCTAATTCATTTTCTTCTGCTTCTAATTTTTTATCTATTAGTAATTTTGTAGATGGATGAAAAAGATGTCTTTTAATATTTGATGTAAATTATCCTCCTATTGTACTTTTAGGTCTAGCCATGGCTTTTAAATATTCTTGTCTTTTATTTTTAACAGAAGTTCCTCTTGGACTTTAAGGTTAAGATTATTTTTATGTTTTTAATTATTATTATGATGAATAATTGTATTAATTATCTTCCTCACTAAAATCTATATATTATTTTCTTCTCTCTTTTTCAAGAACATAATCATATAATTTATTGATGAATTATTTTTCAGTTATTTTACCCATCAAAAAATCTTTTAGTTAAGTTGCTCCTGGAATTTCACTAGGTATTTTCTCTTCAAATTTACCTGTTCTTTCCATATGTTTAACAACAGTCTTACATACTTTAATATATTTTCTATTTAATTCCATATTATATGCATCTATTGATTATTTTAATAAAAGTTATTCTCTTTTTACTAATTTCTCTTTTGTCTTTTATATCTTCACTCTAATATATTATAATCTAGCCTTCATGGTTGCTGCTTTCATTTCTTCATAATCATTTAATATTTATTCAGCTAAAGATAATTCCATATTAAAAAGTAGATCAGGATTAACTTAATTAGCAGCTTTTTAAAAGAAATCACGATCCAAACAAGCATTTAATAATTCACTTGTATTAGCTAAAAATTATAGTTCTTATGCTGTAAGAAATTCACCATCTGTATATTTATTTAATATATGTTCTCTTTATTATTTCTTTTTCTCAGTTAATGTCATTTATTATAAAATAGGTAAAAATCCTAAATCATTCCAATTAGAACAAGCAATTTCATTTCTATATAATATAAATACAAATACGTAAATAATTATTTAGTTTAACTTCTTTATTTTGTAAATATTGATTCTTATTAATTATCCCAAACAACTTCATATAATGAATGTTTAGTATTATCTTATTTATTAATATCATCATTTTATTAATTTGCTTATTTATTTTATTTTTCTTTAATTTATTTCAATCTATCTTAACCCAAAGATTTTAAAAAGTGAAATTCATTAGAATGACCATACTTTTCCATATTTTCAAATATATTACGAGTTGTAATTACTTATACATTTTTAAGCATTAAAGGTTAATTCTAAGACTTAATTGCTAATTATTAATTTTCATAATCATTTAATTTATCAACTACAATTTATCGTAACTTATTTTTTAATTGTTCATATTTTGTTTTTAATTATAACCATTTGAAATGTCTCTTAGTTTAATTATTTTATTTCTCTTTCTTCATCTATTAATCAACTTCCTTGCATTTCTATTCTTTTAGAAAAATCTTGTCTGACCAATTTTTAAGTAATGTATCAATGGTACTATTCATTTGGTGCTTAATGTATTCGCTTGCTTAATTAGGATTAATTACTGTCTCTCTTGCGCAGTCTTTAACTAGTTTAAGTTTGTAGGATTAATGTCAAATGCCTTCAAAATACTAAAAACACAAAATAATAATAAATAAGAACCTTTAACTCATTCTATTTAATGGTTAACTCTAATGTTATAATATATTAGTCATTTATAATCCTTATACTGCAGTTTATATAAGAATTGATCCAAATAAAGATGTAGGACTATTGAATTCAGGATCACTATTTTCTTCAAATTACTTAAATTTTTGATCTATTTCTTTATAATTATCATATTCATATTTTGGATGTGGTGTCTTAATCTTATTGATTCTTTCCCAAGTCTTTATTGATTTATATTTCTGCATATTATTATTAATAATTCAATAATTTAACACATAAACTAAATGTTTCTTAGACTAATGTATAGCTATAATATTATTAATTTAATCAATCATATATATTATTCATTAGTTAAATTACATGATATTAATAAATAAATAAATCAATTAGAAATGGATATCACTTTGACTTTTAAAGATCCTCAAGAAGAAATCAATTATGGAATTTATTCACACAAAATAGACTTTAATTTATTTAGAAGACTTCTCTACAGTATGTTGCTTGGGTCTTTTTCAGGGTCTATTTATTTTCTAATTATTGGAAACTATTTATATATTACTTTGGGCAGCTACATGTTTATTTAGACAATTATTGCTATTTTGCTTTCCAAAAAATCCATTTAATATCTTAATATTGTTGCTCTAGTATATCAGATCGAAATTTAAACACTGTTAGCTACCCTAATTACTTTATTAGACAGCTCTTTGCATCGAGGCACCATAATGATGATCACCACTGCTGCATTTCAAATGTCAGTGTGGTAAATTTGATATATAAAAGTCTTTAGCTTATCCATAGGGACAAAGTGTACTTTGAAACTTCTAGTGAGCCTATATTCAACCATAATTTAATTAGTACTTAGTTTACTTATTGAAACAGTAAGTCTTGTTTGGATAGGATTTGCATTCTTCTCTTTATTGTTTGCCTTTCAAGTGACATATTACTAAGAATTTGAAAAGAGATAAAAGTATACTCTACACTAAAATGCTTAAAAAATAAAAGAGAATTTATTAAATCAAATTGAAATACCCATTCTTAAATGTATCAGTAATGAAAAAGATATTAAATTGATTTATTCAGAATCTAATAAATGTGCTTAGACTACACTTAGAATTGCTGATCAAAACAGTTTTATCAAATTCACTAGAGATGTTATAATTTTAGAAGGTAAAACTACATCAATATTAACAAAATAATCATCTACTTTGTAATTCTCAGGAAAATAAAATTTGGAATAATTGATTCATAGATTTTTTAAAAAACAAGTTGGAGAGGATTCAATACTTCATAAAACTTTTTAGGCTTATAGATGTAGAGTTAAACACTTATCTTAAGAATATTTGTGTTAACTAATATTATTACATGAAGATTAACCATTATGTGTAATATATCTATAAAAAACTTATGATGATTTTATTGTAAAAACTAATGAAAAAATGATTGTTTTAAATTAATTATTAAAAAGATGTGTTAAAGAAAATTTTGAAAAAATTAGTACTTAATAAGAATGTATATCTTTATTATATAAAAATTTAAAGTAAAACAATTTAATTGAAATCATAAATAAATTAGCTTAAGAACTCTTTTCATTAAATATCTATTTTGCTAATTGTAAAATATTGTTTAATTCATAATATTTACACTTTTCAACCAAAAAACAACATAATCTAACAGGTCTTATTTAATCAATAGTATTCCATTTTAAACATTCCTTATAATTTAAATCTATTTCTGTATCTCTTAAAGCAAAATCTGATATTATAGTTGAAGAAAATGAAATTCTTATTAGATAATTACTTTATAACATAATTGAGAATGCTATTCATTTTGCTAAAGATAAAATAAAGATTGAAATTAACTAATTTTTTGATAGCAATATTAAACATTAAATTGTAGAAGTTAAATTTATTAATTCTATAGATTAAAGTAATCTAAAAAATAATAATGATAATAAATAATTAAGAATGGGACATTTGGTTATAAATAAGATTTTAAAATTAATAAGCCCATACTCTTAATTATAAATCTAATAAGATGAAAGTAATTATAGTGTAAAGTTTTATTTGTTTCAACAATTTTGATTTTTGTTAAATATAAACTTTATATAAAAATAATTTAACATATATTTTAATTTAAATAATAACTGATTCAATCATGATAAAAAGAAATAGTACAAGTAGAGTACCAAAAATAGAAATTTAGACAGAATTATTGTCTATTAAATTAATCTAACATAATCCAAACATTAATTTTGACAAATATGATTGGTGTCAAAAGTTTTCAGAAATTATACATGCTGATAAATTGAAATCTCAAATTGCTGTTTCTAATGACAAAGTATCAATTCTCAAAGGCAAAAATATATATTCTTGGGGAGTTATTGATAAATCATTTACTTTTAAATAAGAAAAATCAGATATCCTAGATACAATTACAATTGATTCAAGATGTTTCATTTTAGATAAAGATAAAAAAGTTTATAAATCTAATGATAAACAAATATTATTTACAAATGTTAAAGCAATTAGAAACTTTTAAAATGCCTTAATACTTCTTACAAGTGATAATCAATTATTGGATGAGAAATAAAATAAACTCAAATAAAATATTGAGGATGTTTAAAGTAGTAATGAATTCTTAGTTATTTAAACAAAAAATAATATCACTATAGCTGGAAAGTTTCCTTTTTAATAAATTTTTGATGTAAAAGCAATGAAAATTTCTTGTGGTTTATAACATGTTATGTGTCTTTCATAAGAAGGCTAACTTTATATTTGGGGAGAAGGTAAATCAGGATAAATTGGAAATGGATCATTAAAATAATAGTAATGGCCATAACTTGTAATGACTAATGTCTAAGATATAGCTGCTGGAACTGAATCTTCCACTTTATTAAAAGCTAATAGAATTTACTATTGTGGAACCAATGAATTAATTAATAAATAACATACATTCATTCCTTATTAATCAGATTATATTTTTATTAGGATTTACTCATGTTGGAGTTAAATTATGGATGTTTAATATGCACATTATGTTGATTTTGATTAAGAATTATATGAAGAATTAAATAAAATAGTAAAATAAATAGAAGATGATGATTTATTATTACCTGATGAAAATTTAACCAGATAAACAAAAGCTATGAGTACTCATGAATCACAAATGATAAAAAAACCACTTCCACCTTAAATATTTGGATAATAAACAAAAACATCAACTAATTCAAGTATAATAAAAAGCAAAAGTAAGACACCTTAAAAAAAATTAAAATTTTAATTAGATTGAAAAATAATTAATATATGTTTTCCATTTATTTATTAATATATCACATCATTGATTTAAAAATTTTAGATAATAATTTAATTTTCCAATTGATTTTTATTTCAGAATCTGAGAGTATTTATTCCTTTGTTATTTTTTCAGAATAGTTTAATAATTAACTTTATTCTTTTTTTAAATCCTATTTAAACATAGGACATTATGTAAAAATATAAGCTTAAATTTCATTATCTCTTTTTTCTGATCTTTAAGCATAATTTGAGCTACCTATAATTGTCATTATAGAACCATCTTAAAGTTCAGCCCAAAACCCTTTAGTATGAAATGTCCAACCATTTCTTTTGTATTCAAATATTGGTTTATCAATAGCCAATTCAAAATAACGATATAAAAAAGGAATAAATGATTTAGCTTTACCAGCCTTATGAAATCCATTTGCTCCTGGACTAGCAGTAATAAATTTAATATCAGTCTTGCAATTATTTACAAAATTAATAATAGTTTTAGTAAAATTCATATATCCAGATGCCCAAGTAACAGCTTAATATAATATATCATTTTTATACATGTAAACTAATCTAAATTCTCAAGAATTCTCATAAAAACTAATTTGTCCTCATCAGTTTATAAATATGGAATATGTAGAGTAATTAGTACAGTACATTCCTCTCCCTCATCTAATTCTCTTTCTTCATCTTTATATAGAGCCTTCTCTAATCTATTAATAATATTTTGAACATCTCCCTTATTGAAACTCTTATTTAATCTTCACTATGATTAATACTTAATATACATTAATTTAGCTTATTCTTTTCTTTCTTATATTTTCTGTTCTACAATTAAATCTCTTTCATAAAATTATAACATTTCTTCTTTAGATAATTCTTCTTCTTATTCTTATTCTTATTTTATATTATTATCATTATCCTCTTCTTGCTTTTATACTTTTTCTTATTATTATTCTTAATATTCTTCATCATCACTTTTAATTTCAGCTGCTTCTTTATAACTAAATTTGAAAATCTTCCAAGTTTAATGGAATTCTTTAAAATATTATTATCTCTTAAAAGGTTGAGCTCTTAAAGGATCAAATTTAGAATTTGAATCAAAATCTACATAATAAGCATGTTATAATAATGCTGATTATGCATCATCTAAATAATCTGCTAATTCATTAGCTTCATGAAATACCATATATCTATCTTATCTATTAATAAAGTACTGTTCTTATAAATTAGCTATATATTTAATTATTAAATTACCTCCGGTTAAAATTACTCGATTATCAAAGATATACCATTTCATATGATGAACATTGAAAATTTCTCTAGCAGCAGATTCTTCAAGCATATTTACAAATTATGGAAGGAAAGGATGTCTCATTAATCCAAGTTTCATATTATTTGAATATAAATTTTGCATTCTCAAATAAAGATAATGATCTATTGGTGTAGTGTGATTTTTCTTATCTCTTCTTGTCCCTCTATAATAGTCCATTAATAAAGAAATTCTTAACTATTCAAATCTCCTTTATTAATTAGAAAGACTCTCTATTAAAAATTCTTCCATATTTCCATTTCCAATATATAAAGTACTCCATACAATTCTCTTTTAAGCATTTTTTATTCCTTTATGTAAATTCACATAAAAGTCTACAGGATCTTTTAGTATTTCAATCTATGCTGTATTTAACTTAAAAAATGGCTTATGAAACTTTAAATTATTTAACAATTAATTCATTAATTATTATTATTTTATTCTAACATTGATCACTATTAAATAATATTAGCATCAAAAACATATTTTAAATCTCCTGATTTGCTCTAAAAAAGATATTCTATTCTTATATCAATAAAAATTGTAATAATACAAAATAATTTTATATTGATGTAAGGTGCTTTATTAGTTAATATTATATTAATTTTATGTTCATTAAAATATTGTATCTATTAACATGAATATTCTTAAAGATTATAAAGAAAAGAATTGATCAATAAATTTATATTAAATTAATTTAACTGAGTACAAGTATGGATAATATCGATGCAAGATAGTACTTTAAAGTAGGAAACAGGAAATCTTAATCAGGATGTCATGAAGATATTGTGATAAGAACTTAATCCTAAGAAGAAGATTTGAAAGATCTTGAATGTTAACTTCAAAAGAAAATGTGCCTAAATGAAAATGAATGTTTTTTCATTGAAGAAATCCTATACACAGATCCATATGAACCAGAAGCATTACTTGATGAGAATATCTGTATAAATCAAGATGTCACTTTCAACCCTCAATATTATTTAAACAATGAAAATTCAATAATAGCATGAAATATTTTATTAAAATCTATGAATTAATCTCACCCATTAAAAAGAAGTATATTTCTAAGAGCTATAAAGTTAGTTCCAATGAAAATAATCTTTTTTATATACATGATTTAAATAATTCTTTTTTTTCTATTATGTGGAAGAATTTTAACATTATTAAATATTAATTACAAAAAGAAAAGAAAACTTAAATATTTTGTTGGAATTCTAAATTTTATTATATTCTCAAATGAAATACATTTTAAATTCTCAAATATTTTAAAGAAACTTATATATTAATTTTTTGTATAAGTTTAACAAATATAATCATTAACTTTCAAAAATAGAGTGATATTATAAGATTCTAAACTTTATTTTGGTTATCTTTAAATTTTCAATGACATATTTCATTATTAAATTTCTTTATATAAATTTTAATTTTCTTAGTCTTAAACTATAAATTAATGAATTATTATTTTTATTAATTATGAATAGTTTATAAAAATAATCATTAGAGCCAAAAATACTTAAATATGAATAATATTAAAACACTAAGATTTTTGTTATTATAAAACAATTCTTTATAATTATGTAAAAAAAAGAATACATAAAAGATATTAGTAAAATTAACATCAGAAAAATGTAATAAATTTATTATGCATGTATCTTAATCTTATGTACTTATTTATTTTATTTTAATTTAACAAATCTTTATCATTTATAAATATAAATCATCTTTTTAAAAATAAACCTTAATAAGTGGAAATGATAGTTTTTACAAGTTTATCATTGTAAACACCATTCATTTTAACTTACATCATACTTTTTGTACATGATATCATTATTTCATATTCCTCATCACTATATTGTGCTTAAGCCAAAACACTTATTTCATTATCAGATTGACTAATAACTTCAAATTCTGATAATAAATTAGGTATAGAATTTTGAAATCCTGTTTAAAATGGTTTACATTAATAAAAAAAGGACTAAGGTATTTGACCACATGATTTAAAAGTTAAATATTTATTAATTGTACAAGGTATACCAAATTTTATACATCTATCCTAAAATTCAATTTAAGCTTCTTATAAAACATAAGGTATTTCTTTAATAGATATTTCTAATCTAATTTATTATATTTATCCAGGATTTAATTCATTTTTAATTTCATCTAATAGATAAGTAACTAGTTATTTAACTTCTTATAATTAAAATTTTAAACCAGTTATTAAATAATTTGATTTATTTTCAAAAAATAATGTTAGAAATAACTTATTATTTTTAAATTATGTATGAGTTGTTATTTATATTAAATCGTCTTAATGTATTATTGATTTAGATGTAAAACATGCTTATCTAAATCTAGTGTTAAAAATAGTTGGATTAACAGCAAATATTGTTGGATCATATTCTAGAATAGGAGGCATGATAATTTTGGATTATCTATGTATTGCCTTTTAATCATTTTATTTTTATGATGATGATGGATTACATTCAACAATATTTCTTTTAGAATTTGTATTAGAGTTCACTCCACCATTTTAATTTGATAAACTATTTTTTTTATCATTAATTTTTAATAATTAATCTTTCAATTAAGTAATTTATCTTTTTTAACAAATCATAATTTATTCATATTAAACTAAATTAGATTTTTATTTATATAATTTAAAATCTTCTTTAGTTTAATTATCCTCTTTTTCTATTTTAGTTCCTTTTGCAATTTTTTGAGATAATTGAGAAATTCTAGCTGATAATAATTTATTTTCAGTTAATAATACATCCTTATCATGTTTAATTTTATCATAAATACTATCAGATTCATCTAATTATTTGTTTAAATATTCATTTTCAGCTCTTAATCTATGACATTCTATTTCAGAGTATGAAAGTCCATATTCTATACGAAATTCAGCTATCTAAACACTATAGCAGTTAATTATTACATTTTTTTCATAAGAAGCAAGAATAAATGGATTTTTTGATAGATGATTTTTTTAATAGTCTTCAAATAATTTTTCATATTTCTTTTGTAATACTTTATAATTTGTTTCATAACGTTCTATTAATAATTACTTCTCTTTTATAGCTGATTTTAATAATGAATTTTAGTTTTAAGTTTCAATTATTTATTTTTATAATTCTTACATTTTTTATTAATGCATATTATTAAGATATGTAAGTTATTAATTTTCAATTTGCAATCTTTGTAATTAAGTCCATTCTTCATGTTCTTCCATTTTCTTTATTTCTTAAAATTTTGGATCACGCTCTAAAAAAATATTGGCTAATTTAGCTTATTTATGTTTTTTAATTATATGTGTTTTGACTATGATTTAAAATAATTCGGCATAAGATGAATATTAAGTCTGATGATATTCCTCAGGAAGATGAGATTCTAAATATCTACAGATCTCTTTTGTACTTGATTGAGCATTTTAACTTAAAAAACTTTTTAATTGCATCATCATAGATAAAGGAGGAAAAGTTGAAGGCAAATTTGTATGAACTTAATTATGATCAAAATATTGAATTTCTGGAAATTACACACCTAAATTGAATAATCTTTCATATGCTACACGATATAGACTTAATCTATGATGAATATTATCTAAAGGAAACCATCTTCCCCAAATCCTAATACATTCTAGAGTTACTCTCAAAAATTGATCACCTATTGTCTGCAACTCTTTGTTACCT